CATCTCAAATAGGTCAAAGAGCTGAAAGACATCCTAGTAATAGCTAAAAGAATGAACACTCGCCAAACAAAGACACCAGTGAAAAAATAAACATGAAAAAGGAGAATCAAATAGAAATTCTGGGGTTGCAAAATATCACTGAAATGAAGGACCACTGTGGATTGAATTGTGCCCTCTCAACTATTATGTTGAAGCCCTAATCACCCAAGTGACTATATTTGGACTTAGGAAATCTCCCAGGTTAAACAAGGCCATTAGTATGAAGCAATGGTGAGATTAATGTCCTAAGAAGGAGACAGCAAAAAACTCACTCTTGATTTCTGCCCAGTAAGGACTCAGCAAGAAGACAACCTTCAATCTTGGAAAATCAGAAAGAGATCTTTGCTAGAACACAAATCAGGCGGCACTTGGGTCTGGAATTTCCAGGCTCCCTTGCTGTGAGAAGAATTTCTGATATTCAAGTCACTTGGTATTACTATGGCAGCTAGGATTAATGGGACAAGAGCTCAAAAACTAATTTGAGCAGCAAAAAGACAATCGGAAAACTTAAGGAAGGTTGCTTGAGATGATCTAACCAGAAAAATGGAAAGGAAAAAGTGAGGAAAAATACCCAGACTCTCAAGGACATGTGGAACACAAGTCTGTGTGAAAGGTGATATGAGAAGGAGAGAAGACACTGGGAAAGAAAAGTGAAGAAATAGTAGCAGGAAACTGCCAGATTTGATGAAAATCATTTATCTATACATCCAAAAAGCTCAACAACTCTAAGGAGGCTAAATATAAGACAACCCTCTCAGACACACCATATTAAAGATGTTAAACGACCAAGAGAGAATCTTGGAGGCAGTGATTTTTTTTCACATACAAGTAGTTTTGCTAAGATTACCAGCTGATTCATCCTCAAAAACCATGGAAGTCTTAGGGCCTAGGATTACAAATTGGAAATGCAGAAAGAAACACATTATCCAGTTAGAATTATGTATCGTGCAAAATGTCCTTCAGAGAAGAAGAAAGAAGGGGTCAGAGTTTGGGAAAAGTCACTGCTTATAATGCCAGGATCCCATATTGGAGCGCCAGTTCAACTTCCAGCTACTCCACTTCTGATCCAGTACCTTGTTAATGTGCATGGGAAGGCAGCAGGTGATGTCCCAAGTGTTTGGGTCCCTGCCATCAATGTAGAGGAATTGACAGAAGTTCTTGGCTCCTACGTGGCCTAGCCTAGCCCTGTGATTGGGCTGGGAGATGAACCAGCAGATGGAAGATAGTTCTGTCTCTTTTTTGCTCTGTCATCTATAAACATGTAATTTGTGAGACAGATAATAGCATAAAGAAGCAGATGAGATAGTAGTAATAGACAGTAAGTAGCTAGTATTAGAAGTTAAGTTTTATATGCTTTATTGGTCAGATTTTTATCAATGTAACAAAATACCTGAGGCATGTAACTTTATTTAGAAAAAAAGATCAGAATGAGCATTTAGCTAGCAGTTAAGATTCCTCCTTGCTATGCTGGAGTGCCTAGGTTGGACTCCCAACTCCAGCTCATGCCCCCATTTCCCACTAATACAGAAGGTGGAAGTGATAATGACCCAAGTAACTGGGTTTCTGCACCCATGTCAGACCCCTGAGTGCTGTTCCCTGCTCCCAGCTTCAGCCCCAGCCCAGTCTGGTTGTTTGGGTAGTTGAGGAGAAACTGAATAAATGGGAATGCATGCTCTGTTTCAATTAAAAACAAAATTAAAATGCAGTTACACTAGAAAGAAGTTTTCTCTAACTCATAGCTCTCATAGCTCTGGGGATTTGGGTTCAGAGTCAGGTGTTCCCTGTTGGCTTGGCCTTTGTGAAGCTGGCAAAGGCCATGGTAGACCCTGCACAGGATGCTGTGGTGGGCCAGGAAGCCAGGGTGGGCTACACTCAAGCTTTCATAATCCACTCCCCAGTGAGAACAACCTTCCAAGTGGCATCCGGACCTCCCACTCAGCCCTTCACCTAAACATAATTAGGTTCACTTCTGTATCCTTGTTGTACCATTCACTTACAACTTTTGGATTTAAGTATCTGTATGAGTCTGGGAGGCAGAACATGTCCAAACCATAACACATACTATTGAAATTATGTTGTTATTTCTATAACTTGTTCAGCATGGGCAAATCCATAGAAACGGAATGCAGATTAGTGCTTGCCCAGCACATGGGGTAGAAATGGATAGGGACTAAGAACTGGCACAAGGGTGCCACTGGCACTTCAGGGGGTAATGAAAATACTCTAGGATTATGTTATAGTTGCATGCTTACATACCAAAACTTGTACACTCAAAATGAGAATATTATATGCAATTCATACCTGAGGTTGTTAAAAAAAATAAAGTGATATAATAGCTGCTTCTTACCTAATGTCGCATATTGAACACTTTCTCTACGTTATATCATTTAATTTACTTCAATCCACAATACAGTCCTGGGAGATTATTACTGTGCTTTGTAAGAGATATAGGAACTGAATTCAAAGGAAGTAATAAAACGTAAAGTTTAAAAATGAAGGTTTTTACATTTAAAAAGCTCAGAATTACTAATTATTCATTAAGAAACACAAATGAAAATAATGAGATGCCATTTCACACCCATTAGAATGGCAACAATCAACAAGAAAAAAATATGTAGTAAGAGTTAGCAATGCCACTGAGACACTATGATCCTTGTGCACAGTAGATGGGGATGTGAGATGGGACACCCACTGTGGAAACCAGTGGGGGAGGTTCTTCGAAAACGTAAAGACAAAAATGCCCATCTGATCCTGCTGTGCCACTGCTGGTTTTATAGCCAGGAGAATTCAAAAGCAGTGTCTTGCAGAGTATTTGCATACCCCATGTGTGGCAGTATTTTTTGCCATAGCTAAGAGGTGGGAGCAAGCTAAAGGACCAGTGACAGATGGAGAAAGGGGAAAATGATGCAGACCTACAAGGCACATCGAGTGGCCTTCAAAAAGTAAGGGATCCTGCCCTGACGGAGCCCTGAGGACAGGGCACTAAGTGGAAAAAGCCAAGCGTTAGGAGACACCTCTTGCAAGAGCTAGCTACTATAATCAAGACTCTTAGAATGCAATGACTCTTAGGATGGTGGTAGGGGAGGTGCGGTAGTTTTGTGGGTACAGTGCTTTGCAAGGTGGGCGAGTTCTAGATCCTGTTGAGAAGCATTAGGCTTACTGTTCAGGATTATAGGATGCAGCAAAGCTTGGTGGATACAGTACACTTTGCATTACATGTTTTTTATTATAATAAATTATTGAGATTACATGATATGCAAGGGAAGGCCATCACTCCTGTGTGTTTAATGACTGCTTCCTGACTCACTCAGCTTCTCTCTGCGTTCAATCCCTTTATCTGATGCTTACACATAGAAAGGTGTCTTTGGCAATAAGGGTAACCAAAAACATCACTTTTTTCCCCTTGATTGCTGTCTTAGGCTTCTCCTGGAGCTCTGATTGCTGGATGCAGGTTTCAAGAGGTCCCTTCCCATCTTCCCTTAGTAGATTTTTTTTTTTCTGTGAGTTTCTTCTTTGAAATCCCTGGGCATGAATTTGACTGAGAGAGCATCCCCACCCCGCCCCTGTCTCCCTGTGCAGGGAAACTTCCGACATGCAGGCAGTGGCGCCCCAGTGTCCAGAGAGGAGCTGATGACGGTGCTGTCTCGGCTGGAAGGACTGCGCATCCGAGGCCTCCACTTCACGGAGACGCAGCGGCTCACACTGGGTGAAGTGGGGCTGGAGGAAGCCTCCGACTCAGGAAGTGGACGCAGGGCACATCATGTTGAGATGTGTGCCTGTCCTCCTGACTACGCAGGTGACTCATGTCAGGTAGGACAGTTCTCAGTTGCCAACATGACCCTGGGCAGTGTGTGTGTGTGTGTGTGTGTGTGTGTGTGTGTGTGTGCCCTCTACTCTCGCTGGTGGTCCAGCACCATGAGGTTGTTCAGCACTCTGGATTGTCCTAGCTTGTGTCTTGCTGCACAACCTCCAGCAGTAAGATGTGACACAGACACCAGCAATCCCCCAGCACCAGTTGGCCTCCCAGTATCTGAGCCACTGCTTTCCTAGCAGCTGTCCTGTGCTGCTTCTGCCTGCCTCCAATCCAAGGCCTCCCTTGACAGTCCCCTCCCCGTACCTACTCCCTCTCCACCATCCTGAGACCCAGAAGTGCAGAACACACTGGATTCTGCCAACCGAACTCACTTTTACTTGCTGCCGGTCCTCATTGTTTCAGCTCTGGGCGATCTGATTGGTTCTTAGGAATTAAAATGTGTGGTAAAATGAAAATGCGGCAGACCTCCAGCCCTCAAGGTAAAAGAGGGGGAGGGGGAAAACATATTGTTAGTGTACTTGCTGGGAAATAGTAAGCATGCTCATGCTGTGGATTCTGCATGGCCAACGTATGTGGAACTGGCAAACCCTTGAGTGTGTGTGTGTGTGTGTGTGTGTGTGTGTGTGTGATCTGCACAAAACTGTTTCTGCCATTGGAACCTGTAGGTATCTCCCTTTACCATGGGTTTTCTGGGAATGTGTGGCTCCTGAACTTGGCTTCCAGGTGGCTTCAATCGTCCCCCTGCTCCTCCACATCTGTTCTAGCCTGATCAAAATTCACAGCCCAAGGAAAAAGAAGAGAGACGGGATGACCCCCCTCACACCCAGGGCGTGTACTTGGCCGTGACTCAGCCTGTGATTTACAGCCGCTCTAGCTGACTAGTGCCGTCTGCGGGGCAAGATGGGTGGAAGGTGCTGCCTGCCCCACCTCCTAGGAATTACAGAGCGGCGCGCTTACCTGCGCGACTGTTAGCAGCACTCTGGCACGGGCTGACTCATGTGTGAAGTTTAAAGGTGGGGCCCCTCGCCGCAGACAGCCTTCCTTCCCTGAGTCAGGCAGGCTTGAGCGCTAAGCAGGAAGGGCAGGTATAAGAGGAAGAGGCAGAGGTTTCTGTGCAGCTGGCTGGATGGCGGCGAGAGGCGCCAGGATGCCCCCTGCAGTGAGGCGGTCAGCCTGGAGCTTCGTGAGGCTCTGGATCTTTGGGGCAACCTTGGCGCAGTGTCTGGGATACAATTCACAGCAACAAAGGGCACAGCTTCTTCAGCCTCCTGGTCAAAGTCAACTACAAGTAAGCTTTGCGGAGTTTAGACCCAGCCAGGTAACAACCTTTTTAAGTTTTTACTTCGAGATGGGGACCGAGTCCCTAGCTTTGTGACATTTTAAGTTCTAGAGATGAATAAATACATAGGTGGGCTGGGGGAGGGGCCGACGGCTTCCCTGGGGCAGCGTTGACTGGCAGTGTTTATTACAGGACCTGACAGATTGCTCTCCAGAACTGTTAACCACAAGCCCCATAAACAACAGCCCACCTGGAATAGCATCAATGCTGGTGGGAATGTTCACTTGCTAGGAAACTTTGCCCCCCTCTTAGACACTAACCTTAGGATTGAAGAGCTTAGTGCCGGCGGGTCCCCAAATTCTGGTAGGAAGAACATTTACCCACAAAATAAAATGAGAAAAACGATAAAAGCTTGTTTCAGGAAAAGTTTGCCCAACACCTAAAAGACAGGCTTTAGTTTGCCAGGCATGAGCCATGTAAAAATTCTGCTGTCTTTAAACCTTTGGGGTTAGGTTACATGGATACTTTTGGATACATTGAACAAAACAGATCCTACTGAAGTTTGAACAGCCCTGGAAATCAGAAAGGAACTTGATTTTCTACCATTAGTACTCAAAAAGCTTACTTGGGAAAGTGAACTTGAAAAAAGTATCACTTTAAGCAAACTTCACTGATTACAAAATCCCTTTACTGAAATCTGATACAGGGATAGATGCATTCACAATCTAAATTCACGATCTGAATTGTTTGTGAAATAGGAGTTTATTGCTTTATAGAAGTGAGAAAATGTATTTAGGTAACTGGCCAATACTTTGCAAGTCATGTGATACAGAACTCTTGAAAGTATTTTTTCTACTTCTATTCAGAAGCAAATTAAGATGAATGACTTCATTGTATTCAGGATAGACTGTTCTTTCCCAAAACATGTTGAATGAAGACTTTTACTCAGGCACCTTGTCATAAACTCACCGGATTTTGCTGCAGTCGTTTGTTCTCTGCCAGGTGTGATTGTTTTTGCAAGCCGGGAATGTTATCTTTGTTTGATGATCTTTATTAAGGTCGTTCCCCCATATTGGTGGAGATCATTATTTGTGGGTGCGATCACACCACCCGTGGCTGGATCCCATTCAGATGCATCTAATAGTCATGCTTTCAGTGAAAGAACATTCCTTTCATATTTTGGTTCTTCCAGGGCAAGCCTATTCATATAACACGTAGGTAATCTAATTTTTTTCAGGATGTGTTCTTTTGCCTACACAAGGCTCCTAATAGATTAAAGGAATGTTGAATTGGAAATTAAGATCTTGTTCATGACCAGTTTATGTTGGTAATGGTGGGAGATGCTCTTGGTAGGGGGTGGAGGGTCCTCTAGGGGAGCAGCTAAAGCACACCTCCCCTCTTTTCCTCTTCACCTGGCTGGGGAGAGACCTTTGTGATTGGGAAGGAGTGAGAATGGATTGTTCAAGATTTCCTTTCACTACCATTTCAGAGTCTTACAGACATATGTATTTAAAAAGGATTGGAAAAGACTAGCTTGTGTCTTAAAATATTAATTTTTCCTGATGCTTTAATGATAGGCCATCAGGCAACTCAGTGAAAGATGTAAGAACAATGTCTGATTCTAACTTATGCACCAATGAACCCTGCCAAAACAGAGGCCATGTCTAGAATTCTCATTCAGGACAGAGATTTGAATAATTTCTGGTGGCTGGGATAAGAACCACTGCATTTTCCTTTTTGTTAGAGATACATTTTGAAAGGGTACCAGCTCATTTAAAAAAGTACTTCTTTTCATACAAAAGAGTTTAATAATTTATATTACTAGACTGGAAGCAAACAAAATATTTGAAATAGAAACAGTCAAGGAGCTATGAACCAGAACAAAAGGCAAAGCCCCCACACTCCCTCAGGCTGGGTCTCTGGGTTCAATTCTGGAAAAACATTCTGGAACATTCAAGCACCTCCCCTCTCCCAGGGCTTCCCATTACCGACAAAATGGTGAGTGCCAGGGAAGTGATTCCAGCAATGGCACCATTATTGCATAGACCCAGATAAAATCCCTCTCACTCCTCCTCTTCATCCTAGACAACTCTTCCCATCAGCCCAAGCCCACAATGGGGAGGGAACAGCTGCCTAAAGAGAGCTTGAGGGGATTATCTCAGTGTCTGCCCGCCCCAAGTCCTGGGCCCCTCATCATCGGGGTTCCACCCCATCCACCAACTTCCATAACAACTGACATGGAGAGAAAGAGCCTCATTCCCTCCCCTCGTCTGTACCTCACACTGTCTGATTTCCTTACCGTAGCATGGAGACAAAACACAACCCAGCCAAAAAGCAAGTGGACCTGGTCAGTTTGAGATTAGCAATCTACACACATACTGAAAGACAGAAGAGACATGAATTGCTTCACAGTCAGAATTGTCACCTGCTTTGGATGTCACTATTTCCTTGCTTTGTACTGAATTAAGCACTTTGTTTGGAACACAGGACTGTAGCTCAGGATACTATCGGGATGACAGAGGAGGCTTGTACCCTGCACGGTGTGTGCCCTGCAATTGTAACGGACATTCAACTCGATGCCAGGATGGCACGGGAATATGTATTGTGAGTACATTGATGCTCTGATGTTATGAGCAAGCCATGTGTTTCCGTTGTCCCTACATCCCCACTCAGTGCCGTAAGATATCAGTGTTATATCCCGCATCCAGTTCTGAATGGTCGTGCATGTGTAGGAGGCTCAGTGCTGTTGGACTGAAGTCTGTATTTTACATTTCATTTCGTTCACAGGCACCACTGGAAAAGATTACCAGACTGAACAATTACACCTTTGCTTCTAACCCCTGTCTTATTAGATGATTTTAAGAGGTGGATGCTTGGGACAGAACACTTGCCAGGATAGACTAAAGCAGAGCCGTTACTCCGGGCTGCAATTCCATTGTGGTGGGAGGAGGTCATGCAGGGGTCTCCCCGACGTCAGAAGAACAAAGCTCAGGAAAGCAGCCAAGAGAGAAGCAGGTTCAGAGAAAGGTGTCTAGCTCCCATTCTCTGGGTCAAACGCAACCTTCCACCATTGCCATGACAGAGAGGTCAATGGGGCGGGCGGGGAGAGGCAGGATGGAGGCAGGCGGAGAGGGCAGGGGCGGGCGGGGAGAGGCAGGATGGAGGCAGGCGGAGAGGGCAGGGGTGGGCAGGGGTGGGCAGGGGAGGGAGAGGCAGTGCTCTACCTCCTCCCCTTCCTCACATGACAACCCAGCTGCGGTGCCCTGTGTTGACTCTTGGGTTTTTTTTTTTTCTCTTGAAGCTTCAGGCAGTCCTTAATATCTAGAACTTAACTGCTAAAAAATTATCTTATTTTTAAACTCATTTATAAAATTCTCTCCCATAAAAGCCATTTCTGAAGAACTTTTTGTCTTTCATCTGTGGAATTAGAATTTTTAAAAATCCGATTTCCTTTGCCTCTCTCTCTTAGAGTCCCATCCTTGGTGATGAGGGCAAGGGTTGCAAGCATCAGAACCCCCAGGAGCAGAGGCCCCCGGGCAGGAGGTGTTCCTATGAAAATATTTCATTCCAGTATGGATTTCCTGTGCATTGTGTCAGGCCACAAGAGCGTCTTTCAGTTATTGGAGCTCTGAGATTCTATTGAGGCAGTGCCATATGTGCCTGAGAATGCCTCCTGGACAAGAAGGGACAGGCCAGGCTAGGAAACTGCTGCCAAGAGCCACTGCATGGGGCATTTGCTTGGATTGTAACTTTGTAAGCTCCAAAGGAATGAAGGATGTGGAGAAAAATTTTTTTGTTCAACTGATAAATATCGCTATGTCCCTGTTTATGTTAAGAAAATATGTTACATGTAACACTGGTAGATGCTTTAATGAAAAATGTTTATCTTACTACTGACCCATGGCTAGAAGTCCAGTCCACTTATAACAGCTACCAAAGAACAAGGGCAGATTTCCTGAAAGTCTGTTTACATAGTGAGCATCATAGCTCAGATTTGAGGCACACAAGGTTTTCTTTCTTAGTCCCCCCTTTTTTTGTGGCTATGTCTCCCATGCAGACGCTAGAAAAAACATTTATTCAGGAAATCCTTAGAGTGCTCTTGTGCTAAAGTGCCAGGGCTAAAATCATCACAAACATAGCCTCTCCAGAAGTGTGCTGTCTAGTGAGGGTTATGCAGTGTGCACACCCACAGGTGTGTACAGGTGTGCAGAGCCTGCGCTACACTCAATGCGAAGGACCAAGTGGTGATGCTGCTTAGCAGCATGTCCATTGCATGAAAGCCAAGGAGGCAGCCTGGCTCTTAAACAGGAAGGAGCAAACTGAGTGATGTTTCAGATGAATTCCCCTGCAAAGTCATCTCTACTTATCAAGATGTAAAATCAATTTGTAAAACTGAAGACTTCACAAAGGCGCAAGCATCCATGTCATTTCAAGAATCAACTTTGAAAGGTCTTTGCCAGCAGGCAACACAGTTTGTCCAGATACAAACGACAGGTGGCAGACTCTCTTTTATCCCAGGTCCCTGCCTTACCACCTTTTTGAGGGTCTGTTTTCTCTCTTCCCCCCAATTCCTCTGCCTTCCATTGTCTCTGACTCCTACCACCAAAACCTTGTCTTCCTCTCTGTCCTCCTGTCCCTTCCCCTTTCCCTGCCTCTCCTCCTGTTCTCCAAGCAGGCAGCAGCACCTGCAGGGCGCCTTTACTGGGGCAACTCCTCCTTTTGCTCCCTTGGTACACTGGCTCGGCTTTGCCACAGCACCACAATTTCCACACTACATTAAAATGAAGTTTGAAATTTTCTCTGCTCCTGAATCAAGGTACCAATCTATCTTTCATTCCTGATATCTTGCACAGTTGGGCAAAAAATACATGCCCCATGGGTGTCTGGTGTCAAAAGGAGCTAGGGGAACACACGCTGTGGGAGTGTTTTTGGGCTCCTGTGGCATTCATTCATTCATTCACAGTAAAATATTAGGAAACATTATAAGCAGATGCCTCAAGTTCAGGACTTGATTTCAGGGTAGCTATTAGCCACACTTAACTGAGAGCAAAGGATTTTTCAGATGTTCCTTTGGGACTGGTAGAAACAACACAGCTCTGGCCTCCTCTCCTCTCCTGCCTGAAGAAGGTTGGTGCTCCAAGTGTTTTCAGTTGTACAGAATGTCCGCAATGTAACTTCTTTCCATTCTTGTTCCTTCCACATTTCCAACTTCAGAGCTCACAGACATAGGACCCAAATGCATTCATGCAAGCATGTTCTTTGAAATGGTCATTTGCCTCTAAAGAGAAAAGTGGAAATATTAATGATCAGTTGGAAAGAGCAGATGTCTTACAAGAGATTCAGGGCACCTGAGCCAAGGAGAGGTACAGGGAGGAGCAGTGTCTCCCAGGCCCTGGACACAACTCCTCTGAACACAGATAAACCACAGGGCAAGAACTGGGGGAACAACGTTCCTGCCAGGGCTGAGCCTTCTGGTGGTGGCCAAGAGGGAATGTGTGAGCCACATCCCATTTTAAAGACCTTCCTCATTTTCTAACGTACCAATCCCTTATGATTTTCTACATAGGAAGAAAATATGAAACTGTATTTTAGCATCTTAGTGTCCTCTATAATTCTGTTGCTGAATGGTTCCCAAAGGACACATTTGTTTAATCTAGACAAAAGGGTGATGTTCATGAATGAAGTGTAACCTTTCGTCTTGTCAATAAACCAGTCCCCTGGTGATGGATATTTCCCCACCTGGCTTCGGACACTGCTTTAAAATCCACTCCCATTAAAGTTTCCTGCTCAAGTACTACTTCCACACACAGGGGTAAAATGTCTCAACAAATTTTGAAAACTATAATCTTTTCAGGTCATTTAATCAAATCAGCACACAGTATCTCTAAGGGATCAAATGGTCACAGCAATGGTTCTATTTTATATGGCTTTGTGCGTTTAGCTCTTTATTCTTAAGCCCCCAACAGGTACTGTTGGAGTAAAAATTCCACTTGATAGATTATTTCAACACAAACCACTAGGTTTTGGCTCAATAGAATGCTCAGTTACAAAGTTGTGTCATTTCAGCACTTCTCCGGCTACCATTAGACCTTGATGGGAAGATCATTGGATTTACATAAAATAAATGCCTAAGCAAAATTAATTTCTTGCTTCTTTGGGACATAAATTGAGTGCTTTCTTCAAAAACAATGTGGCCTTTTATTGTTTTCACAAATTCCATTGGTTGAAAAACTTTAATTGCTCTTCAGCGTATCAATGTTAAGGCAATTAAAGGAAAATGAAGTTTCTTTTTACAGAAACAGTTCTAAAGGGAAGAGGGAGAGAATGTGCTTCCCAAGGACCAGGTATACCTTTAAAAATCTTCCCAACGTTTTTGAAAAATGAGCATGTTTCTAACTGTGTATTTAAGAAAATTACAATTGTCCCTGAGTCAGACATCGGCAAAATCAATGTATTAAAAAATACGATAGAGCTCAGAGAAGTGAAGGACCATGTGTGCAGTTCCACAACTGTGAAAGCTTGGAGTAGAATTTAAATCTGGTCAGTATTGCTGTCTCAGACCACATGAATAACTGACAAAGGGCATTCAGACCTATGTTTCTATCCCCAACACTTGTATTTTAGATGGCAACCATTTCTGCTTAGAGTTAGAGGGCTTGAGTTATAATCAAGTAGGTAGCATTGCAATGACCTCAGAAACAATCCCCGTCCTGGATTGCAAGTAATTGTCCTGTTCATCCATCCCAAGAACTGTCAGCATAACACGGCGGGGGACCACTGTGAGCGCTGCAAGGAGGGTTACTATGGGAACGCGGTCGTCGGAGCCTGTAACGTCTGCCCATGTCCCCACACCAACAGGTACTATCAATGCTGAAAATGACATATAGAAATAGGAAGTGGTTTGGTGGTAGCCTGGGACTGGGCGAGTGAATACAAACTCTGGTGGGGATGCAAGGGGACTGTTGATGGGTGTCGAGATTGCTTTTCGGAATGGTAAATGTGTTCTAAAGCTGACTGGCAAGGTTGTACAACTCTGTGACCAATCTAGGCTGCTGAGTTGCATACTTTACATGGATGCGTTATATGATATGTGACTTCTAGCTCAATGAAGCTGTTGTATTTTAAAAATTAACAAATACAACGATGACAACAAAACAGAAGTAGTCTCTGCAAGTTATAGTCCTCTGGCACTTTTCTTTTGCCTCTTTCTCTTTCTGTTCACTTGGTGGTTAGGCTGTTATTTTCTGAGTGCCCACCGCGCCAGGCTTTGGCCCTTCTTTCCTGCTGGGACGATAAGATGGCAGAGCCTCTCTCCGGCAGAGCCTCTGATCCCATGGGGCCTCGCCTGGAACTGGTTGGAGAGAGAGACTGGGGAGTTGTCCTGCTCAACAAAGATGCACACAGATGTGTCCGTAGGATTTCAGATAGTGAGGGTGTTTTCTGAAATAGGATGAAAAGCTTCTCTACGGAAGGCAGTTGAGGAAGCTACCAGGGACCTGGACAATGGGATGCAGCAAGCTAACGTTCTGTCTTCACCAGGGGGTGGGTCTCAAGCAAAACAGTGCGAAAAGTAAAGCCCCTGGGAGCATGCGTTCCCAGAGAAGGAAAGGGGCTGAAGCAAGGTGTAAGCAAAGAGCCCCAAAGAGAGCCACAGGCAGCGCAGGCTCAGATCCTGGGGCTTGCAGGTGCAGCACAGTATCTGGATTTTTGTTTTTGTTTTTGTGTTGTCCTCAGGGTGATGGAACTTTGGGGACACTGCCAGGCCCCAGAGTGACACAGTCTGAGCTTTCCTTTCAGGCTCATTCAGATTGAAAGCTACCTTTATTCTCTTGGTAACCCAGGCTCCCTCTGGACTTTGGGACCTCATTCTATTTTGGCTCATTGCCATGTGTTCACTGTGGGATTCAAGCCCAGGACAAGAAAGTCAACCCCCAAGTGAAGCAAGCGTCGGTCTGAGATTCCAGAAGCAGATCAAAGTCCCCTGTAGCACACAAGCTCAGAAACGAGTGTGTACAACACAGGCAGATGGTTGTCAGCGCAGCGTCACCCTGGCTGCATCTCCTGTGGCCAGAGGTCACTGCCCAGCACAGCCTTCGCAGCCACTCGTCTGCATGGCTCACCCTGCTTTGCTTTCTGTGGGTTTGATCCGTCAGAGCCTGCCCAGTCCTGCAGCTGTATTTGTGGAGGGATCTATCACTTGCTGCTTGCCCAGACTTGTTGGAACGGCGCTGGCGGGAGCAGAAAGCAGCAAAAGCTTTCCATTTTTGGTTGCAAGGCATGCTGTGACCATCAAGGTCGATTTCCAGGAAGGGGGACGACCGCGTAGTTGTTCAGGCATATCAATAAAGCACTAATCTCCTCGGGTTCTCCTTGTAGTGACAGCAAGCTGTGGACTGCTGAGTTCTAGCTGACTTCCCGATGTGGAAGTCTGCGTCCATCTCCTAGGACCTCCCAGGATGAATTATAATCCCTCAGCACAGTGACAGTGTCAGGGTCAATGACAGATACATCTCGAAGCAACAAGCTTCTTAGTGATTTTTTTTTAAATGCTTCTCCACTCTGCGTCAGTTTGGAGCAGGGGTGGGGATGTCCAGCCTACTGGCTGGCTCTGTAAGGCCCATGAGGTCATTTGATGTGACCCTGCCAAGGCAACCACAGGCGGGACTTGAAATTGCGCAAGTCTCATAGCAGGCTAATTTTTAAACTGGTCGTTTTGTAGAGCCCACAAATGATGCTGTATGTAACACAATGGCCCTTGGCAGAATAAAATAAAAGGCTCCCATCTCTTGTTTAGAGCTAAAATAAAAGGGCTCAAAATTCCATAATGTGGTTGGAAAAAATATGAACGTTGCCGATGATTGTACCCACCGAAATATCAAGGCAGGCCAGCCAGCGGCCCTGAGCTTCCTTCTGGGCACTGTAGGCCCAGGCAACACCCCACATGCACCCCATCCACCAGCTTTTCTTCCTAGAAGGGAATTTATGTGTCTGCTATAAAACAGTTTGAATATACACAGAGGCAAGTTTTTAAAAAGAATCAGAACTCGATTTTTTTTTTTTTGCCTTGACTTGCTTTACCTACTCCTTGCTATTCCCCAGAAAAGCACAGTGAAACGTTTGCTGACTTTAAGGAAGGAACGTTTCGCTTGCGCAGTGAAACGTTTTGCTGACTTAAAGGAAGGAATGCCTTTCTCTAAGCCCAAAAGGAAATGAATGCCTTGAGTCCTTATTCACCACGATTTACCCAGTGTCAGCTGAAATAATTCCTCATTATCTCTGCAAGTCTCGATGGGCAAGATTTTCATGGCGCAAAAAGAAGCCAGTCTGTAGCTTTCAATTTTCCCTTCATGTTTGCCAGTCAGCCTTTGTGTTGGAAACGAATGAGCAGAGGCTCATGGATGTTTGGTTTTGACTGGGATCTCTTTCTGTCTTCCTTTCAGTTTTGCCACCGGCTGTGTTGTGAATGGGGGAAACGTGAGGTGTTCCTGCAAACCTGGGTACACAGGAGTTCAATGTGAAAGGTGGGTGTGCCTTATACACACACACACACACACACACACACACATGCACACTGCCACTGGGCGTGGGCGGGGCATGGCTGGGGCTCCACTGGGTGGTAACGCAGAGCTAGAGGTGGGGCTGTTGGTAATCCTCAGGGCTGGAAAATGGTGTCTTGGGAAAAATACAACACTTCTCACTTAGCAAATCATTAACCTCCTGCTCTCTCTTGCTTTGTATATGTCTGAAAGCTGAGAGGGAGGCACACCACAAGAACACATCATACATAGCGCTGGGCACTGCCCAACACCCACCTGCCACCCCTCTCCTATTTTCACATCCCCTTCCCCTCCTACTTCCTCCTTGGTCCTCTGCATCTCTAACCCCACCTGCCTACATTCCCTTCCCCCACAGACATTCCTACACACTCCTGCCCTATGTAGATTCCTTCCTGCATACTCCACTCTCCATGTGTATACACTCTGATGTACCTGTACACAAATGTGCAGTTTAATAGACTGTTACACACATCCCTATGGTGTATTTTGAACATTTTCAGGATAATCTGTATCCTGTTCATTTATGAATTGTGATGCCTTGTATTATCAGGTAGACAGTTGACCATGCGTGACTGGGGAGAGACCCTAAAATCCTCATGGTGGATGCTGTGGTTGGGGCAGGAACCAGGCTGTGTGCTGGGTGCCCCCAAGACCAACCACTTCACAGTTGAAATTACAGTTAAAGAATTCTAATAAAGCAGGAGCTCAACCAGACCAGACACTTAGAACTACTGTACATGCTCAATGAACTCCAGCTTGACACTGGAAGAACCCTACATTTTTATAGGATCATTATATCATTATTATATAATTAACATTGTGGTTTTGCTCCAGCCTCACCCTCACCCGGGGCATTCCCAAAACATGCTGGGAAGCCACGTGCATAGTGATGTCAAGGTATGCAATTCCCAAATGTCAATCCAAACCTCAATGAACATTGAAGCCACATTACCAGTTAACATGCCCCACTTTAGGGATCAAGGCCCAAACCAGGAGGAAAGTGTGCTGTGTGTGTGTTCTCTACTGGCCCATTGCTCCTCTGAACGCCTTTCAATAACTTGCTTCACTAACCCTACTGTGGTCTCTCTCAGCCTGATTCATTACTTCATTGGCCAAAAGGAACCAAGGTATGGCACCCATGGCCCATGGCTGTCTGTTCATATAATAATTGCAAAATAATATTTGTGAAACCAAAGAATAAAGACAGTAGAATGGAAAACCAAAATGATTTTCAAGGGCTGGGGAGTTAAGCCTTAGTTTTTAAAAGCACGTTTTTAAAAACATTTATTTTTATTTGAATAGTAGAGTTTCAGAAGTAGAGAAAGAAGGAGATCTTCCATCTTCAGCTTCATTCCCTAACAGCCACAATGACCAGAGTTGGGCTAGTCTGAAGCCAGGAGCCTCTACTAGATCAAAGGTGTTGAAATTTCTTCTGCTGCTTTCCCAAGCATGTTAGCAGGGAACTGGATCAGAAGTCAAGCGCTGGGACTCAAACCAGCGTCTAAGTGGAATGTGGACACCACAAGTGGAGGCTTAACTGACAATGCCATGACCTCAGCCCTGATGAGCACATTCTCTTAATCAGCTACTTTGCACAAGACAGTGCTGAACATCACTAAACATATAAAAGACACAGTCTAATGGGGAAGATAGATGTATTTGGAAAAATAGCAAGTAATAAATGGACAGTATTTTTAGACTATCTTCAACCCATTTTAAAATTTAATTAAGTGTATCATAAAATCAATCTATGTTATAAAAACGATGTAAGACCACACCGAAACCTGCCTCTCCTCCAGGGCTCTGTGTGCTTGTAGCTGCTCCCATTTGGCCCTGTGTACATCATTTTCCCTATAGAAAACCATTCTTGAAAGCTTGCTGGGCATTCTTACAGATTCATTCTATGTGCAGGGTCTTAAATGAAAAAGGAAAAAATAAGGAGACTCCAGTCTGGCTTTCTGTTTAATTTTCTCATCTAATGCTTTGTTAGTAATCTCTTTCTGTTTCAATAATATCATGATAGTGACAAATGTTTAATAAGAATTTGAGACTAATTAAATTTAACAGTGCTTAACTGGACAAAGAATAATTCACCAACTCGACAGACCTCAGAACTTTTATGAAGTTTGGAGGGCTCCCATCCATAGTGCAGGAAGACAATGTTGATGGATAGACAGAAGGAAGGTGCAGAAACAGCTCGACTGACTTCAGCTGGGGATTTGTCCCATTTGAATAGCATCTGAGTACTTGGCCACCTATGATTGAAATCCGGCTACTGTCATTGGCTGACACTCAGCTGTTTGTTCCAAAATTGTTCCATCCTGGAACACATTTAGTTAGCTAGGTTGCATTCCACCATGTAAGAACTCATGTATGGAGGCATCCTTGGACCAAATTTAGAGTCATGCTGACATTCCCTAACTCCATACTCTTGGCCTTTGAGATCCTTTAACGGTTCTCTATTGAAGGCATTATCTAAATTAAATACTTGTATCTAAATATTTTTGTACCTAAACCCTCAAGTTATGATGTGGGTCTCCGGGATCAGAGGAGGATAGGCAGTTTTCAAGCTCTAAACACATTTTGCAAAATTGACTCCCAGAAAAATTGACGTTTCTAGTAGCTGAGGAGGAGAAAGTGACTGCCTACCCCAGAAAAGACGTTCCAATGATCTGTGTTCTCAAGAATGTCAGTTTGGAAGCCAGTGTGTGGCACAGTGGCTTAAGCTTCATCTTGGAGTAGCAGTGTGTCAACTGCTGTACTTCTCATCCATCTGCTTCTGATGCACCTGCAAAGGCAGCAGGTGATGAAGTTCTTATGCCCCTGCCACCCGTGGATCAAGATCTTGGTTCCTGGTTCCATTTCCTTCTCCCATTCCCTTTCCGGGTCCCTCTCCATTTCCTCCTCAAGAATACAAATGCTTATTTTGTTTAATATTTAATGTTTAATATTTAGTACATTACCACTCTACTTAGCAGACTTAGACAAGCCATCTCAGCCTAGTGATCTTAGTAATTGGGTAAAACTCATTTTTTTTTTTGCTTTATTTCCACTCTTTTCTTTTTTAAAAATGATGTGTTTTTATTGGAAAGGCAGATTTACAGAAAAAGAGAGAGAGAAATCTTCCATCTACCAGTTTACTTTCCAAATGACCACAAAGGCCAGAGTTAAGCCAATCCAAAGCCAAAAGTCAGGAGTTCCTTCTGGGTTTCCCACATGGGTATAGGTTCCCAAGGCTTTGGGCCATCCTCTGCTGCTTTCCCAGGCCTCAAGCAGGACACTGAATGAGCAGCTGGGACTCAAACTGGCATCCATTTGGGATCCCAGCACTTGCAAGAAGAGAATTAGCTAATTGAGCCATCAGCCTGAGCCCTTCCTTTCTATTTTCTAAAATGTAATAATTCCCAATGATACCAATTATAAGATGTGTATTTTATTAGGTCTCATATGTGTAGACATGCTAGTTTTTGTACTGTGCCATCTTATATCCTTTGATCAGAATATTATGCATGCTTTTATTCATTCAACAAATAATTATCTGCAAGTGAGGGAGAACAGTAAAAAAAAAAGTATCTGTTTGGAGTTCATAATGTCATGGGGAGAACTGATGAAGAAGCTGAAATTCAAGGGTTATGAAAACAGCACAATATCACAGCACTACCTAAGTCTGGCGGTGTCCAGCCCGGATCTTCCTGAGCCAAAAGCCATGCCCTCCGTATCACATGAGCATCGTATTAGTTGGCAAGACTTATTAAAGTTGATTTGAAGCTTAAATTTTGGAAAAAGGTTAAATACAGTATTCCCTTGATTTTATCAGTTCTGCTTACAATAATATATTACACATTAATTTAATGACAACTTGAGATGATTGAACGGAGAGTAGATATTTGCTAAATGGAAATTAGTACCCCAACTCCAGAAGCATTAGCATGCATTTTTTTTTTAGCTTTAAGAAAACAGAATTGGGCCCGGCGCGGTGGCACAAGTGGTTAAAGGTCCTCGCCTTGCACGCCCGGGATCCCACATGGGCGCCGGTTCTGGTCCCGGCAGCCCTGCTTCCCTTCCAGCTCCCTGCCTGTGGCCTGGGAAAACAGTCGAGGACAGCCCAAAGCTTTGGGACCCTGCACCTGCGTGGGAGACCCGGAAGAGGCTCCTGGCTTCGGATTGGCATAGTATGGTCCGTTGCGCTCACTTGGGGAGTGAATCATCGGACGGAAGATCTTCCTCTCTGTCTCTCCTCTCTGTATATCCGCCTTTCCAATGAAAAAATAATAAAAATAAATCTTTAAAAAAAAAAAGAAAACAGAATTGAGGAAACATGAGTTCAAACCCGTAAGTAAGGAATTGAGCTCTCCTCACTGAAGTCCTTGGAGTACCATGGAAGTCAACGGCAGCAGGTGTGAGCACTCTCAGTTGTTCAGTTCGTCACCTACCCAACTGCAACAACTTGTGTAACTAAGAATTAATAGAGTCTTGAAATGATACAATACAGAGGATAAAAAAAGGTCTTATGAAAATTGTGAAGTTATATGAACCTTACTTCAAACTTTTCTATAAGAAAATTAGCATTGAATGAAACAATATTTCTGTCATATCTTTAGGTACGGAAATCTTAAGTAAAATTCAGCTATTCATGAGTTCTGTGTTGGTTAAACCATTTGCTCCCTTGAGCAGTTTGCTCTGCTCATCTGCTTCTTAACCACCAGGCGTGTTTGAGGAAAGGGGAGGAGCCGTCCCTGCCTGCTTCTTACTCACACTGGACCTCTCAAGTTCAGGAGCTCTATCAGGACACATTTTATTCTTACAAGTCAGTGTCATTCTTCCTCCCACATGGCCACCCTGGTTCAAACGGGGAGCAAAATGACAAGGCAATTGAGCAGGATAAATAAGGAGGTTTTTTTTCTTCTCCTTTCTATATTTGTACAGATGTGCACCAGGATATTTTGGGAATCCCCAAAAATTTGGAGGGAGCTGCCAACCATGCAATTGTAACAGCAATGGCCAGTTGGGCAGCTGTGACCCCGTGACTGGAGGTAAGACCAACACAACACCTTTGCTAGCCTGCATTTAAAAGACTGGTATAAAATAACAGGTGAAGAATCTAAATACAAATGTTTGGGACACACAAGACACAATTTTGGTGAATAACTTACTATAGCCAGGAGGATTTTTTTTTAAATAGTATTTCTTAAACTAATTATAGATAAAATCATGTTGATCCTACTTTTGGGGATTTTTACTGATTTCCCTTTGACATGATAATGTTATTGTTAGCTCATCTATCTGCATGTGTGTATCTGAATAAGCCAAAGTACTCTTTCTTATGGCAATGCATGTGTTGGGAAATGGGTAGGTAACTGGATTTTAAACACCAAGGAAAAAGATAATTATGGGCTCCCCAAGAGTAGCTCAAAACAAAAAGGAGGACTCTCTTCATCCTTCTTGGAGAATATTCATATTTGTCAAGAAGATACATTATATGTACCCTTAGATTAGCTTCTCTTACAGCTATTGGCCAAGATGAAGAATTGACCCCAACACTGAGGATTCTCAATGATTGATTGATCATTTCCAAAGTAACTCAGCATGAATGGATAAATACCAGAGTAGAATGTGTATTTATTCTTGGGCCTAAGGACTGCATCCTTGGCATCATGTTGTTCAACAATGGTGGCTTGGATAGGCCCAGAGATGGCATGCCTGCCCTGTTTTCAAATGACACAAAGTTAGGGAGGATAGCCAGTGCCTTCAAGGACACAGTCAATATACAAAAGGATCATGTTTCAGAAATTTTCACACTTGGAATTTGGCTGTGGCAAAACTAGATGAGAAGGAAGTGAGAGGGCATGTTGGTATGAAAATATGTGGTATGGGGAAAGAATAGGAGTGCTAGGAAGAGATAGTATGGCTGGGAAGCTCAGCTCTCAGCTCATGTGTGTGTTCCTCTCCACACAGTGTCTGTAACGCCACGGGACTGCTCAGCCATAGGAGAGTAGGGATTTTTTTCTTGATAACTTTGTGTCTCCTACACTTAGCACAAGGACATGATCCACAGTGAAAGCACAGATTCTCAATAAATGTTCAATGCACTCGAACAATCTTAAAAGAAGCATGAACATGAAGGAGGTTAGGCAGTGAATAAAGCCTGAATACTAATGGCTGGAAGGTTTTGTTTGATACTAAAAGTGTGGCCGTTTGTGTAGAAGGAAGATAATGTACAATGGAGACCTCCAAGGAAATCCCTGCAGCAAGTGTGCTGAGACACAGAAAGTTCCCCGAATAATCGCAGGGGAGATGGTGGGAACTGAAAGACCCAGCGATGTTCTCGGATGATGGGTTGAAGAAAATCTTCCAAAATCAGCTTTCCTGAAAACCAAGTTAATAAGTAGATGAAGACTAAGTTTAATGACAGTGTCTTCTTTGGTTATTTTTTGATTTCAGATTGCATCAACCAGCACAATGAACTCAAAGACAGCAGCCCAGGGGAAGAATGTGATGGTGAGGAAAGAATGGTCTTCTTTCTTCCTCATTGAGGAGCATAGATTAAAATTCTGTGAGCTCATGCTAGACGTTTCGCATCCAATTTTGGAACAATGGGCAAAATAGGTGGGAGGAAGACATTTTCAAATCATTCCAGTCTCTATCAACTATTAGCTGACTTTTAGTAAGTGGCCTTATTTCTCCAAGCCCCATTTATAAAAAGGATACACAGGCTTGGTACCTTTAATCCCAAAACCCAAAAATCCCAAACTTAAAATTCTCCAGAACCTCAGAAACTTTTTCGAGCACTGACAAAATGCCACAGGGAAAATCCCATTTAATGTAATCTTGTTTTGTGCACAAAGTTATTTAAAATAATGTGTAAAATTTCCTTCAGTCCATGTGTAGAAGGTGTATATGAAACATAAATGAATTTCATGTTTGGATTTGGGCCTCATTTCCAAGACATCACATTGTGTACATGCCACTATTCCAAATCCTGAAACGCTTTGTCCCAAGCATTTTGGGGCAAGAGATACTCAACCTGTAGTAGCTAAATCTAAGTCATAGTCTCTAGGGAAAATGCCTATGAATACCCACTGCCATGCTCTGCCAATAGCAAACACTCAACAAACAAGAGCAATGTATTATCATATTTCCCCCAAGACAAAACAAGCCACATGTTGTGTAGAATCCCTGCTCTATTTTCAACAGCTCCCTGCATGCTGCACCGCCCCTGTCCTCCCCCCATCCCCAGTATGGGCAGCTTCTGATTTCTGTGTGTCTGTGACCATGTATCCATAACTGCACAGCCCTGGTGCCTTCCTTTGCCTTCCAGCAAAGTTGTAACCTGAAGCACTTTTGTCTGACTTTGCAGACTGTGATAGCTGTGTGACAACCCTCCTGAATGACCTGGCTGCCAAGAGTGAGGAACTGCGTCTGGTCAAGTCACAGCTGCAGGGCCTGCATGTTGGCGTGGGTGCTCTGGAGCAGATGAGGCACCTGGAAACCCAGACCAAGGAGCTGAGGGTAAATGTCCTGTGGAATCCAGAGTGGGGAACTGGGGGCCGGGAGGGGGAGATGCTGCAAGAATGGGTAGGACAGGGGGAGAGGTTGCTTCCACTGATGACTCATTCTCTCCAAATGCAGACTCAGTGTTTACTGGCAAAAAGTACTCATATTCATGAATTCAAAAAATTGGCACCTCCACGAATTACCTGTCAGATCACCTGGCAGGCCCAAAGAGTAACAGAGGGAGGGGGAAGTTGTTCCTCACAGAGGGAACCTGTGAACATTTGTTCAACAGATAAACAGCAGTAGAAGACACCTAACCCAAGCAACCTTGGAGACATGAATTTACTTTAAATAAATGAGATGTTTAGAACAATCAGAAAATTACTTTGAATAATTGTGTTCTTTAGAAAAAGCAAGGGTTTGGAGGGGAGCAGGGATACAATGGTTCACTTGGTTAATCCCCTGCCTGCAAGAACCAGTATCCCATCATGGCACTGTTCGTGTCCTGGTCTGGGGGAGTCTAACCAGCAGGCCTCTGTGACTACAGAGGGGATGAGGCGACAGTGTTTCTCAGCAAGAATCACTGGAGACAGTCTAATGGGGGCATGTCTTTTTATTGTAAAGTCAGCACAAATTTAAATAGCCCAAGAAAAGGAGAAAGCATAAGTGCATCTCCTGAAAATCCTCTCGTCCACCAATGGTGCTGTCATTGGCTAGAAGGCAGTTATATTCCTCTGGACCCTCCAGTCCTGATGCAGGTCATGTACACCACTTCTCAAAGTTGCCTATCAAGAAAGTCCCAGCAGAGAAGGAAAACCAGGGCACAACCCACTGCCTTGCCCGTATAGCCAGTGATCAGGTCAGGTGTGCCAAGACCATTGCGCCAGGGGCTGTGCTGGGGACACAGAGTGCCATGTCCTTATGACCTTCCACAAAGGCCAAGTGGGCAGAGATCCAGGAGGGCAATCTCCCACATCCTGGCTGCTTTACTTCCCATCCAGCTCCCTGCTTATGCCCGAGAAAGCAGCAGAGAATGACTCAAAGCCTTTAGACCCTCCATCCACATGGGAGACCTGGAGGAGGCTCCTGGCTTCAGATAGGTTCAGCTTCAGTTGTTGGGGGCATTTAGGGAGTAAATTAACAGATGAAAGATCTTTCTCTCTGTTTCTCCTTCTCTCTGTAAACCTGCCTTTCCAATAAAAATAAATCTTATGAAGAGAGAACAAAAGTAGGAAATTTAGGGAAATAGGAACCCATCAGAAATCAAACAAGACACAATAATTATAAGAGATCCAAATAAAACTCATGGCAGGAAAATAACACACTGTTAAACAATTTGATAGATAAGATAAACCCAGATGAGACACAGTGGAAGAGGCCCTTAGGAAAACTTGAAGAAGTGTTTTTGGAGTAAAGGATGAGTCTGGTGGCTGTAGGTGAATATAGAGGAAAAAATGATCATTCTAGAAAAATGACTCCTTCTCACCGCATCAGAAAACCCTTAGTGCATGGTTTGTGGACTCGAGATAGAGGTGAGAGAATAAGCCTTTATGTCTCGAGAAAAAAGTGCCTTGAGTTCCTTTGCTTTCTTTGCTTTCTTTGCTGCAGCCTTGCCCCTTGTCGCTTTGCCATGCTGGTACTCTGTTGGTCTCTGCACTAAGTGCCTGTGTAAGTCCCACCACTTTCCCATGAAGAGCATTGTTTCAATTTAACATACTTGGACAAAGCCAAGTACTTTGGCTAGAGTCACACAAGGAATTCCTGGTGGTTCTAGAACTCAGGTCAGGGTCAAATTCTAAAACCTAGGCATCACCCAACAGATCTCTTTAGGCATGTGTTCTAATGACATTCACTATGGTGATAAGCCTCAGTTTTCCTGTAGTAGAGTTAAAACAGAGTAGTAGTGAGTACGAGAAGGGAGCAGAAGTTTTTGAATGCTTAGGGATGTGACATTCTGGGACATGCTTAATTCACTTAGCCCCAAAACAAACTCTAAAGCTTACTATTAGGATCCCTAACTGACTGAAGAGAAGCATTAGGTTTAGGGAGGCACAGAGAACTGGGCTTTGTACCTAGATTTTTAGATGTGTGTTTTCTGTTCCAACCTTGGTCCTGGTATAAACGTAGAGGGAATAATATCTTTTTTACCTAGTCTTTTTTTCCCAAGATAGGCACACATTGGAAATACTGCTCCAGACATTAAATGCAACAATATCACTCACTCCAAATAGGGAGGCAATTGAGTATTATAGAAAGGACAAGGTACCTGGATTATGGTCCTGGGGCAATCACTGGCTGGACAACCATGGAAGAATCACTCAGCAACTTTGGCCTTCCATTTTCTCTCATCTGTAATGTGAAGATTTTTCCACACCATGAGCTGTGACTTCCTGCTCAGGTCTATTAGATGGGATTCTTTGAACCTGATGTGCATTCAATAAAGTAGTTATCAGGCACATGAAACAGCTTATCAGGTTAACCACAGATTTTTTTTTTAAGTATTACCAGGGAAACCCCAGATTTTTTAAAAGCTTAGCTGATTATAGAATCTGGAAATAAATTGCTAGATAAATAGCACCCCCTCATTTCTATAAAATTAATCATTTTCAAGTAAATTCCGATAAAGTATCTCGTCACTCCTCATCTTTTTTTTTTTTTTTGCTACTTTGTTTTAGAGCCATGTGCTAACTTGAATGAGAAAGCAGATTAGCCATGTAGCTTACCTCACAGAATCCAATTACCCCTGTGAAACGGGTGTTGCTCTTGATGCATTATCTTTATTTTTAAAGATTTATTTCCTTGAAAGGCAGAGATACAGAGAGGGTTGGGGGAGACAGACAGACAGAACAGAGAAGGATCTTGCACCTGCTCTTTCATTCCCAATGTGGTTGTGATGACCTGAGCTAAGCTGAGCTGGAACCAAGAGCCAGGAGTTTGTCTGGGTCTTCCATGTGGGTACAGGGCCCAAGGACTTGGGCCATCTTCCACTGCTTTCCTAGGCCATTAGCAGGGAGCTATAGAGCAGTGAGAATACAAACCAGAGTGTGTGTGTGTGTGTGTGTGTGTGTGTGTGTGTGTGTGTGTGTGGTGGTACCAGCCCTACTAAATGCATCTCCTTGGTTCATTACCACATCTGCCAGATTTGATGGGAGTTAGTCTGGTCCCAAATGAAATTCATTTTGTGCTTGCTTCGCTTTCAGAATCAATTGCTCAACTACCATTCTACCATTTCAAGTCGTAGATCAGACATAGATGGCCTGGAAAAAGAGCTCAGTAATCTGAATCGTGAATTTGAAACTTTGCAAGAAAAGGTAGGGTGTTAACCCCAACTCCAACCGTTTTATTTTGCTTTCAAACTATTTTTGGCTTCCACATAATTAATTGCTCAATATTCCATTATTCATATAGGCACAAGTAAATTCCAGAAAAGCACAAACATTCTATGCCAGCCTTGATCAGACAACCCAGAGAGCCAAAGAGCTGGACGTGAAGATTCAAAATGTCATCCGGAACGTGAACAGTAAGAGGCGTGACTCAGTCCAAAGAGTGGTGTTGCTGCTATTACATGGCCTTTGCTGTGCACTGGGAGAATTTCCCTTTCCTCAACGCTGTGAAAAAGATCCTGTAGTGATTCCAAAAACTATGAAACCTCCATACAAGTTTCTACTATTTTTTCTTTTCTTTTTTTTTTAATTTATTAATAGTGTACTAGAGCCCAGAATTTCCCATTTAATCAACTGCTCATTGTTTTCCAGTCCTACTGAAACAGATCTCTGGGGCAAATGGAGGAGGAAACTACTTACCTTCAGGAGATTTTTCCAGGGAATTGGCTGAGGCGCAGCGCATGATGAGGGAGCTACGGAGCCGAAACTTTGGCAACCAACTGAGAGAAGCAGAAGCAGAGAAGAGAGCAGCTCAGCTCAGTAAGGATGCTCCCAACTTATATTTGTATATACAACATTGAATTTATTGCTTTTATTGGAAAGTCTGGGACAGACAAAAATGTTCTATCCACTGCCAATGAATCCAATGCCACTCCTATTCATCTGCGCCAAGCTGAAGGTGCGAGCTTGAAGCCAGGAGCTCAGTCTAGATCAACAATGTGGGTGGCAGAGACCTAAATATCTGTGACATCCACTCTAGCCTCCCAGGGTTTGCCGTAGCAGGAAGCTGGAATGAATGAGATGATGAACTACCATCTGACTGCTGTGCCAAATGCCTGCCCACCTTGGATACTTGCACATTCATACACCCAGTCCACTCTAATTGGCTTGGTTTATGATGTGCGAAATGTAAGACAGAATTCCCAGTTACAGATGGAAGGTCTCACTTCTCCCTTCAGCAGATATTACTATTACAGCATCCCCTGGGGACCAGGAGTGTTTTCGCCATCAGACCGTGAAGCTGTAGAATTTAAAAAGTGCCCCAAAAGTTTGATACTGATAGCACTTTCCCTTTTTTTTTAAACTGCATTTTGATTCTCTTTCATTCATTCTTTCCATTTTTCATTATATTATTTTCATTATCATCTGCAAAACAGGTTTTGGAATCAATTCAATGATCATTCCTATTTATCAAAACAAGAAGATACATATTCTATAAATTGGAAATGTATCTAAAGGTGGTAACAAGAGAAAATGCCTCAATAGGTCAAAACTTAGAAAATAGGGATTCAAAAAAAAAAAGAAAAATAGGGATTCTTCAAAAACTTCATGAAATATGGGTGTTATGTAAAACTATGCATAGATTTCAACATCTTTTGTATCAAAATAGGCTTATATTTTAGTTGCATTTTCCATGAACTTCTTGAAATATCCTCAGATTAGCTCATTGCATATTTTTATTCTGCAGCAAAATGGTGCTTCCATAGTTAATGCATATATATCATAACAGTTTTCTTATTGGATTATATTGTTCAGGCATAATATCAGTCTTGGGCTTTCATTGTTGGGAGGTGGTATTTGTGGTGGAAGGAGCAGGGTCCTTTGCAGTACAAATTGAAGGTCCAAGTCTGACTGGTCATGGAAACTTGAGTTGGTAGCCTACTTTCTAGAGTCTCCATCTGTGAAACACGATGATTACTGTGTGGCTATGGAAGCTAAATGAGGCAATGCATGCAGTGGACACAGAAGTTCTGAATAAATGTTAGTTTCTCTTCTCTTTCCTTGAAAGTCCAAGGAAGATCATGAGATGAGCAGAAGCCCAATTCTTTTTGTCTAATCTTTGTAACTTAGCTTCAACATACAGTCTCTCTCAAGAGAAAAACTAAGTTGATGTATTCCAGTGTTGAGTCGGATAAGCAACTTGCTGGCAACCCACCGAGAGGATAGCAATGGACTAGCCAAGAGTCTGTGGGATTCATTAAATGAATATGAAGCTAAACTCCGTGACCTGCGGGCTGCACTACAGGAGGCAACCGCCCAAGCAAAGCAGGCTGCCGACCTCAACCAAGACAACGAGAAGACTCTGGAAGACATCAAGGTAGATGATGGCTGGAAGTCACACATTTGCATTAAGAAAATGAAGGGAGCAGGGATTTCTAATGTTATTAAGGTAGCACAGCCAGATCTCGGTCCATATGTCTGGTTGTACCACTTCAGACCCTGATCAAAAAGGAATGAGGCATTAGATGCAAAACCAAAGGTGTCCCTCTTCCTCCACTACCAGAAATGATTGTGAATTTCAGCCTGAGACCATTCTGTGCAAACAGTTTCAGCCTCACTTCTAAAGGAAGAGTACTAACATCATAGTGTTCCAAGTGAATGTGAACTTAGTACTGTGATAATAAGTCCCAGGAGTATGTGCTATGTTTTCAATAACTGACTTTTCATATCAGATCTGTAAGCATCATGATCACACCCACTAGCTAAGGTATTTTAAGCCACAGGTAAGGACTATCAATCCAGGCCACCTACACAAGTCACAACATCAGAATATTGAGCTCAAATTTTAGAGTTAATGTTTTTGCTAGTGTACATCAAAAAGATGTATTTTTGCTAGTGTATCGAAAAGGTGAATAAAAATGTGAGGTATATAAAATGACAGTATGATCCAAATTGAATAACATAGATTTGGGTCAAAAAAGGGAAAACTTAGTAATTGGAAAAGAATGATCTTGGCTAAGGATGTCTGTGTGCTTAGCACCCGAAACCCCCAAGACAGTGTGAACTCACTGACTGTGCAAGGGAAGGAAGCAGGATGCAGCTGTGTGAGTCTCTGAGCATTGACCTGGCCTTCTTGCTTGGCCTTCTTGGGGAGGGAGCCATGTTCTTTCACCCAAGCACCTGCTCTGTCCGTGACTGGCATGCAGACTGTGCTGAGGTTTGGTCCTAGCTGGAGTTCAAATTTACTTGTTCCACCAACCAGAGTTTAGGAATATGTCCACTCCATTGGTCAAGTTTCCCTCCACCCAGTGTAGACAGCTTCTTCAGCAGAGACTGGAGTTCTTTGTGGATTTACAGTTGTGGTAAATGTTAACAACACATCAAGCCTGCAGTGGTCCCAGAGCTCTTCACCCAGTAGTGATCTACCCCACCGTTAGGGCTAAGAAAACATTCTGCCTCTGAAATCACACCTGCACTGTTGTCTGACAGATATGTCTGTGTCCTCTGATGACATAGCCCACCACACAGGCACTTAACCTGTTCGTTCTCTGCAGAGACGTACGAAGGAAATCAGCTCGCTGCAGAGTGACTTCACCACGTTTCTCAGCACTGCAGACGCCTCTTTACTGCAGACCAACATTGTGCTGCAGCAGCTGGAGGAAAGCCAGAAGGTAGTGAGTTGCCTGCTTGCCAGAAAAGCTAAAAATACTTCTTTGAGTTTGCCAGGAAACTGTGAGATGAGATGACCTTGTCTGTGAGATGGGAAGGAACATACCAGAATGCTCACAATGGCATTATCTGGTTTGTCTGCAACAAGCAGATCCCTTTGGTGATAATAACATCTTGCAGTGTTATTTCTGAAGTATCAAGCATGCCTGCACTAATAGATGACATTTAGGGTTTGATAAATGATTGACAAAATGTATTAGCCACCCAAGGGCCATTTTGAAAGTATCATTCATTACAAATATTTCTATGTGATATATCACTTGATTTAATGTAACTTGACATTGCTATTGACACTGCATTTTCATAACATGTACAGAAGCGGGGTACTGCTATAAGGGGGGTACTGCTATAAGGTACTGCTATAAGGGGGGTACTGCTATAAGGTATTGCTATCTGGTTCAAGATGCCAGTAAACCTGGAGGGATATTCTCAGTGCCACTCTCTGATCACCAAGGATTAACTGGCATGGTAAATGGGCTTGAAAATAGAATTTCTCATGGTTGCTTTCTGGAAACACATTAATCGTGAGAGTTGGAGAAATGTAATGTACAGTCTTTGATTTCATGCTGTCTTTGCTTGTAAAAAAAAAATAGGAATATGAAAAAGTTGCTGCTACTTTAAATGAAGCAAAGCAAGAACTAAGTGACAGAGTGAGAGCACTTTCCAGATCTGCCAGCAAAACATCCCTGGTGGTGGAAGCTGAGAATCACGCCAGGTCTCTACAGGAGCTGGCGAGGCAGCTGGAAGAGTGAGTGTATGGCCAGGAAGTTCCAATGAGATGCTGGCTCCAGAGCCAAGTCAGGTCTCTCCCACTGGGCTGGCTGGGTGTCTGGAACAAGGGAGTGAGTGCGGTCAAGGTGGAAGCACTGCTCTAGTGCTCAGTGCCCACCAGTGAGGGAGCAGGTGCCCAGCTGCATCCCTGGGCACTGTGGAGGCCACTGCCTCTGGCCCTGCTTGCTGAGGGAATAGGGTGATAGCACTAGCTGGAGGGACCAAGCCCCATGTTCTCTTCCAGGATCAAGAGGAACGCCAGTGGGGATGAGCTGGTGCGCCGTGCTGTGGATGCTGCCACTGCCTATGAAAACATCCTCAATGCCATCAAAGCGGCCGAGGATGCTGCCAACAAGGCCACCAGCGCGTCAGAGTCCGCCTTGCAGGTGGGCATCTGCACCAAGGGCTTCTGCAGATGGTTCCCTCTTATTTTCTCTGTAATGAGCTGTTGCTATAAGTCAGAATTTGTTATATAGGATAGAGTTGAACTTGCTCTAGACAGGGTCTTTGCCGGTATTTCCTTGTCTATCTGTTTAAAAACAAGTATTTGTAAAACTGAGTAAAAATCAGATGGAATACCTGTTTTAAACTGAAATAAATATTCCATCCTGTTTCAGATCAGGATTTTTTTTTTGTAATGGTATATTTAAGCTATATTTAGGCATTAACATTTACTGAAAAGAGAGATTTGATCCCCATTTATTCCTTGTGGTTAGATCCTAAATCTGAGCATTTTTCGAGTTCTGTGTGATCTTATATACACTAAATAATAGCCTTCATTTTGAAAATAAAGATAGAATATCAAACATCAGAGTTGAAAACTCAGATATGCCTAATGGAAAGATGGAGGATCATGTCCCGAATCGGGGCAGCCCCAAAAGCAGCTAGTGCAATCCATGTTATACAAGTATCAGCGAGCGACAGGGATCATGCTACTTGTCGATGTGTCACCACCTCCCCAAGTCACAAATGCCTACCTAGAGCTCTAACTTTCATCAAAAGGTTTAGTCCTCTCCTCCTGTTTGAACTTCATCCTTTAACAATTAAAGATAAGGGTCTCAGATTAGAAATCTTAACTGTGGATTTCCTAAGGAACAGAGTATGTTGAAGGCTGATAAATACTTTGCTTTCAGACAGTGATAAAGGAAGATCTTCCAACAAAAGCTAAGACCCTGAGTTCTGAGAGTGATCAACTGTTAAAGGAAGCCAAGACAACACAGAAGAAACTACAGCAAGGTATTGGGTGTGTGTTGGGGTGCAGACCCAGTCAAGAGCTTTCAGTGAGCTTTGGGACCAGGAGGGGTCGCCCTAGCAGCAAACAGCCCTTTGAATCTCAGTGTCATTGCAGACTTCTAAAGCCATGACTTATTCTAACAATGTCACCTATCCATCCAATACATGTAAAGGGCCTCAACCCATCATATGTGAAATTAACTTCAGCTTCACCAACAAGAATCTGTCTTGAGGGCAACAGGCTTCTTTGAATCTGACTTTGAGGTGGGGCTGTTATCATTTAATCTATTCTCCAGATTTGGATATTTTAGAAAGTTTTATTTTACTTGCCTGTCAAAAAATGGTTTATTTGGAATCACTATAGAAACAGCTTCAATATTTCTTAGGTCCTAAAATCTTAATAATTAAAAGTCTCTACAATTGCAAATACTGAATTCTTTGAAACACGAATTTTATTTTTGAAAAACTTCCAATTGTCTTTTTAAATATTTTCAGTTCACTGAATCCCTGTTCTGAAAATGCTGTCTCTTGGGTTGCTGTGTGAGTGGTCATCCACCGCCTCGGAGGGGCCTCGGGAGGCCTTTCAGAAGTATTAAATGATGGTTTTGTAACTAACTGCCTGTCCTCCTGCCTTCCCCCTTCCTTCCCTCCTGATTTCCTTATTTCCATTTACATTTTTTAAAAATTAGATGCATGAAATAATGAACTGCAAAAAGGGTGTACCCTCACCCTTTGGTATCCACTGGGATTTGGTTCCCGACTCCTGAATCTACCACAATTCACAATCCACTTATTTATATCAAATGATGCAATATTTGCACATGACCTAAGCATATTCTTCCATAAAGCACCTCTAAATTACTCATCAGATCTAATAGAATACAAAGGCTCTGTTGATGGTTGCTAATTTAAGAAATAATGACCAAAAAATCTATACATGTTCAATACAGATGCAATTATTTTTTTCACATATTGTTGGTCTATGGTTGATTAAATCCACAGGGGTAGATCTTGTTGATAAAGGCGATCTACTATCATTTACCTAGCAAATTTCATGAATTAAGATTTCCTGATACAAAGGCAGTATAACTACTGACAGTAATAAAGCTGTCAGTTAAGATGCCTGCAACCAATACTGGGAGTGTGTGAGTTCAATACTCAATTCTGGTTCCCAATTCCAGCTTCCCGTTGCAAACCCCTAGCAGGCAACAGGTGAAGACTCAAGCAATCAGGTCCCTCTTCCTTTTTTCTCTCCATCTTAAATCAATAAGCACTCTTTGAGAGACATCCTGTTAAGCCATCTGTTTTCTAACAAAAAAAAAAATTGTGCTTGGAGGTAGGATCAGTGTTTTTATGATTAAGATGTCGAGTAAAGCGGTCCTGGATTTGTAATTCAAGTTCTACATCATCAATAGGATTTCAAAGCAGTTGCTGGTCAGTCCCCATAACCAAAGATGGCAACATGATCAACTAAGCCTTTCTGCTATCCTTTCATGGATTTTTTTCCCTAAAATGTGCCAGTTTAGAAATGAACAAAGCAAACACTGTCTAGTTTGTGTCTGTATTTGCTTGGCTGAGGCTCAGCAACACTCGTCTTTATGTCCCCTGAATAGAGGAATCCTTTCTGTATTATTCATCTGTTCATTCTTTCACTGATGCATTGATTCATGCACATATGTCCTCATAGTAAGCCTAAGCCAGGCACTACACTGTGTACTGGGGCACAGTAGTAAGTTCAAGACAGACGTGTCCTTCTCTAAGCAATCTTCTCTGAGCAGGTGCAAGCCTAGCCAACCTCCCTCCCCCAAGTTACTCAGCTGCTTTCTTCCTGTGCATTTTTGTTTTGTTTTGTTTTGTTTTTTTGTTTTTTATTTTTTCCTTGTACTCTTTTTTTTTATTATTTATTGTTGCTTACATTGTATTATGTAGTACAGTTTTATAGGCGCTGGGGATTCCCCCCACCCCTCCCATACCCCTCCCCCCATGGTGGATTCCTCCACCTTGTTGCATAACCATAGTTCAAGTTCAGTTGAGATTCATTGCTTGCAAACACATGCCTAGCATAAAGTTCAGCGTCTTATTGTCCAGATAAGTTCAGTGGCCTCTTGGGGAGACCTTCTATAGTCTGAAGATAGGTCTAACAGAGTAAAGATCCGGTCAGTTAAAAGCCCCAACAAGGCCTCAGTATCAATATACAACATTATGGAATTAATTGACATAGTATTGGGTAAACAATATGTTAAAAATAATGCAAGTTCCATTCTTCGAAACATCTGGGTTGAGACAGTATCAATGACAGGTTCAAAAAATAACAAACAACCAAACAAAAAATTACAGGTTAAATCAAGGCAAACATGGATAACGCGTCTGACTACGGATCAGAAGATTCTTCCTGTGCATTTTTAAGGAACCTGTTACCACGAGGTCCTCATGAGGCTTCTGATCTCTGTGACCTGAGGGCCCCAGGGCTGTAGGTCTGAGCTCGTGCATTGGGCATCTGTGGGATGACCCCTAGAACGCCCATCTGCTCTATACTCTGCAGACACTGGCTCCCTGGTAGGGAGGTATGCAAATGCAAATGGAGCATCCAAATCCACACAGTAATTTTCTCATGGTGCTTTTTTCTTACAGAAATCAGTCCAGCTCTCAGTAACCTCAAGCAAACACTGCAAACGGTGACATCTCAGAGAGAAGGGATAGATACCAACATTACCACTCTCCGTGCTGAGCTCCGCGGGATACAGAGAGGTCAGCATCACCCCAGCCCCCTGTGCTTGACCCCTTCCACTGGACACTGGAGATCCTTGCAGCTCCCTACTTGTGTGTGCTTTAGGTGACATCGATGAGGTGATCAGTAGCACGAAGAACACGGTCAAAAAGGCCAATGACATCACAAGCGAGGTTCTTGATGGGCTCCACCCCATCCAGACAGATGTGGAAAGCATTAAGGACACTTATGGGAGCGCACGGAGTGAAGACTTCAACAAGGCCCTGATGGACGCAGATAGCTCAGGTACAAGGCAGTCTCCGGCATTTTCCTCCAGCGTGTTGTACTTGGTCCAGCTCGTGCTCTCCTAGCAGTGTCTGATCTTAGCAATGAAAGGCTCAGCAGAGAGCGTACAGGATACATTTGAGGAGTAGAGATAGTCTTTCAGTTAGGAAGACTAGAAAGGATTTTTGTTGAATCCATTGATAGTGCTATTGATTTTCTTATTTATGGAATGAGAATGCAGCTTTCTGAATCATAAGATATTGAATTATGACTGATAGTTAGAACAGAAAATAAAGATTTTTCTTTCCCTGATCAAGGACAGGGACTTGGTCCCTAGATTGCACAATGTAACCATGGTTCATGTAGGAAAGTTATTACCTGGGCATGACCCATTGTGTTCAACTTCTGAGGCCCAAATATGCCTTTTGATAAGTGATGTCAATGAGAGTATTATCCATGTTTAACCTTTCTCATGGCACAATTTTATTTTTCCAATTTCTCCAAACAGTGAAAAAATTAACCAGAAATCTGCCTGACCTTTTGAGCAAAATTGAAAGTATCAACCAACAGTTGTTGCCCCTGGGAAACATTTCTGACAATGTGGACCGGATACGCGAGCTAATTCAGCAGGCCAGAGATGCAGCAAATAAGGTGGGTGTGTCCCTATGGAGTTAGTAGCCGACTAGCTCTTCCATAAATTACCACACTCATCAAGAAAATAAGACATTTATTTACCGACAGACCAGTTATCTTTTTTTTTTTCTTTTGTCCTAACTCCTTAATGACTTGAGGTACAAACAAATTTATTCTGGTCATCCTTTAAACGACACAAGATATTCATCCCTGAGTATCTGATGTGTCAGAAACATGGAGCAGTTTCCTCCTTTAGCATTCATGAGGGCAGGAAGGAGAATTTTCTTCTGGTATCCACTTAGCAAACTGTGAAATAGCATGCGGGAAATTCTCCGTCTCTCTCACTATGTGTATGTGTGACGTGGGTGTGTGTATGTGTTTATCTCTCCATCTTTCAAATACGTGCATACATTCATGCATACATACATGCATACAAAAAAGTTTAAGTCAGGCATTGTGGTATGGCAGTTAAACTGCTGCCTGGGACACTTGCATGCTTGTTGGAGTACCTGATTTGAGTCCTAGTTACTATGCTCCCCGTCCAGCTTCCTAACACAAACCCGGAGGCAACAGATGATGGCTAAGGTACTTAAGTTCCTAGCAGCCATGTGGGAGACCTGGATAGAGTCCCAGTCTCTATTTCAGCCTGGTCCAGCCCCTAGCTGTTGCGGTCATTTGGGGAGTGAACCAGCAGAAGGAACGCTCTGTGTCTCTGTCTTTCTCTCTGTGCCTGTCTGTTTCTCTTATTTTTAAATAAATGAAAAGATTTAAGCAAGCTGAAAGTGTTTTTTTTTTTTTAAGGGAGCACTCTCTTAGAGAACCTCAACTTATTTTTTTTTATGACGACTGAAAGCCTGTGATAAATGTGACCAGATTGTGAATTGCATACACAGGGATCAGTTCCTTTAAGCCTTCATCCTAGAATATTTCTGCTGTATTCTATATCCACTATGTGCCAGGCGCATCTGCACAGATTGGCTCGCCTGTACCAGAACCTTGTAGAACTAGAGTTCTGATTGTTCCTACTGCTACTTCATAGATCTAAACATGCTTCTTGGGGACCCCTGGCTACTACGCAGAAGGAGTATGAATGCTTATTACCCAGGTCCTACAACAGCTTCATGAGTTTCAAATCCAAGTTTAAAAAACATTCTCATTCCCTTCTTATCCCAATTCAAGACAGGCTACTAGATAATTGGGAAGGAGGCTACCAAGGCACAGTTACCTCCCTGAGCCAGCCCCTTGCTTCACAGGAGGTCTGACATCACATAACTCATTGTTCACAGGTCACTGTCCCCATGAGATTCAACGGAAAGTCTGGCGTGGAAGTCCGACTCCCCACTGATCCAGGAGATTTGAAAGGATACACTTCTCTGTCTCTGTTTCTCCAAAGACCTGACTCAAGAGAAAATGGCGGGACTGAAGATATGTTCGTCATGTACCTTGGAAATAAAGACGTAAGTATTTTTTGGACATTTCTTTCAGATGTAACACAAGATGTTTAGGGAGACATGTGCTTTCGCCAAGTGGATCACAGCTGTGATGCTGTCACCTGTTCTGAGGTGGCAATGCCAGCACCTCCATGCTGCACAGACACCGTGGGGCAATGCCCACCATCATGCATTGTCACCTGCTGTCAGCCAAGACGATATCTCCCCCAAGGAGCCCAGCATGTCAGCACACGTACGTGCTCATGAGAACACACACACACACCCTCACCCTGGGGGCTGGGAGCGTTTTCCACAGCACCAGGGCATCCATGTCAAGGCTCTGCAGAAGTTAACCCCCCTACAGCTGGGTGTCCCTCTCTTCTTCAGCGTGCATAGCCACAGAGTCTCCCTCCAGGTAGACGGGTGGAGGACCATCCAAGGCTGAGGAGCGAGCACAGGAAAGCCACTCATGACAAGTGCATGTAGGCATTCCCACGTCCATTCTAGGCACTTTGAGTGGTTGGGTTCAGCTCCTAATTCCTTCTGTTAAAATATTTTCCACCTACTTCAGGGTTGGAGGAAAAGCTGATCACTGACTGGCTTAGGACTTAATTGTTGGAAAAGAAGTGTCAGAAAGAAAGAAGGTTTTTGAAAATGCTATCTGATGAGGAAAATTAAAAATTCTTAGAGTCAACACTATTATGAATTACCCTTTCACACCTCATGATGTTGACACTTTATTTGCAGCTTCCTTGTAATGTGACTTTTTGCTTTGTACCTTTCTTTATTCCTTGAAGAATTTATACTTTAGTAAAAGGTGAAAGATTTATACTTTAAACTTATCATATTGTACCATACTTCTACCATTTGCCATATCCTGAATTTATGATAAACAAAAAATATTTCTTCAGTATACTTTGTGCCAATGTACACTTAAACATGGTAAATTTTATCATCATTAAAAATGGTATTAAATTATTGATTTAGTTGAAAGGCAGAGTTGGAGAAAGGGAGAGAAATAGATTGAGAGAGGGAGATGAATAGGGAGAGATTTTCTCTTTACTGGTTCACTCTCAAAATGGCTGCATGGCCAGGGCTGGGCCAGAGTGATGCTTAGGAAGCAGGAGGGCCAACCAGATCTCTCACGTGAGTGGTGGAGGCACAAGCGCTTGAGTCTTCCACTGCCGCTCTCAGGTGCGTTAGCAAGCAGCTGGATCAGAAGTAGAGCAGATAGGACTTAAACCAGCACCCATATAGGATGCCAGCATTACAGTCTGTGGCTTAACCTGCTTTTAAGCCACAGTGCTAGCCCCACCATCTTTCATTTCTGCCTGTGCTCTAATTCCAACAGAGAAGAAAGGTATATACCAGGGTACTTTAGGAAGCTTGCAGGAAATGTGAATTAAGATATGTTTAATGCAAAACAAAAGTAAAATCCACTAGTGTATTTTCCATGAACTTTCTGAAGACCCCTCATACATAACTGACCACGTGTAGTGTAGGGGTGTACAACAAAGGCGTGCACAAAGTATTACAATAGTGTTATATAGTAACAAGGGAGCATAGCTAACTCTCTTTCCAGACTGAGCTAATATACCTGATCCATTGGAATGGTAGGCTTTTAGCAAATATTTGTGGACTGAACAAATACGGGAATGAGCAAAGACAGCTTATAGAAATTATTGCTAAAACATTTGGTATATTCTATAAAAGAAGAAACTTCATTTATTCAGCCTACCTATGGTGTGTTGCATAAAACTCATAGGTGATTTGGCCTGCAACCTCTTGGGATGGGTAGCTGAGGCAATGCAGTGTGGGAAGTGTTCTAGTGTAAGGGTCTCCCTCCAGGCTTCCAGGGACTACATAGGCATGGCACTCATAGACAACCGCCTCACGTGCATCTACAACTTGGGAGACCGTGAGGCTGAACTCCAGGTGGACCAGATCTTGACTGAGAGTGAGACCCAGGAGGCGATCATGGACCGGGTGAAATTTCAGAGGTATGAATCTGACTGATGCTTGCTCTCTGGAACCTGACTTATGACTCACTGGACTCTTCCACTTCCACGTCTTGTTAACCCCTTGTTTAGTACCTTGCTTCTGGGTTCTTTAACTGTTTTTACATTACTTTATTATCTAATTTTAAAAAAACAGAATCTATCAATTTGCAAGTCTCAATTACACCAAAGAAGCCACATCCAGTAAACCAAAGCCACCTCACTTCTATGACATAGATAGTGGAACTCGCAACACCCTCCTTAATCTGGATCCAGAAAATGTCGTGTTCTATGTCGGAGGTTACCCATCTGATTTTGTAGTAAGTACCCATGTTATTCCACGGGAATAAAACATTTAAGTGTTACTTTGGTAGAATGGCCTCATGTCTGTATTATAATTAATTGTATGTAGCATGCATTCAACTATATATTCTTAAAGCACATCTAAAGATAGTAGCTAACACTTCTTTAGCACTTATTCACTGCACTAGTCTAAGATTAAGAATAGTAACTTAAGTAAAAAAAAATATATTATTTCCATTTTATAGTTCAGGAAATTGAGACAGAGGTTTACTCACTTGGCCAAGGTCATGTATCTGGTGAATAGCTGCATTAGGATATTTTGGCTCCAAGATCCATGCCCTTCACCTGTATACTCCATAGATTATTAAAAATGATAGGCTTGTTCTGTTTCTGTGACAGCCTAATTCTTGTTCTGTGATACACTGGTGGAGGATTTAGTTGTTTGTTTCTTTTTTCAGCTTCCCAGTAGATTAAGACTCCCACCATATAAAGGTTGTATTGAATTAGATGACCTGAATGAAAATGTTCTGAGCTTATACAACTTCAAAAAAACTTTCAATCTCAATACAACTGAAGTGGAACCCTGCAGGAGGTAAATATAGTGTCACAACCAATGTCTCTATTGCTGGTGCAGAGCTTGCATATCTAAGTAAGGAAGGGAGGGTCCAAGGAGTTGCCTGTGACATTGCTACCTGTTTTGGATTAGCAGTCCTTGAACTATGCTTGCAGGCAGCACTGACAGCCCTTGCTAGAATCTAATCACAGCAACTTTCTACTGTGAAAAAAACACTGGATTGATAGAGCTTTCTCCATTTTTCTTTAAAAATGTATTTATTTATTTATTTTTATTGGAAAGTCAGATTTACAGTGAGGGGAGACAGAGAGAAAGCTTTTCCATCCACTGGTTCACTCCCCAAGTGGCTGCAACAGAGCTGAGCTGATCTGAAGCCAGGGGCCAGGAGCTTCCTCTGCGTTTCCCATGCAGGTGCAGTGTCCCAGTCTTTGGGCTATCCTCTACTGCCTTTCCAGATCACGAGCAGGGATCTGGAAGGGAAGTGGAGTAGATGGGACAAAAAACAGCACCCATATGGGATCCTCTCACGTGCAAGGTGAGGACTTCAACCAATAGGCCTCTGCGCTGGACCTTATCCATTTTCCTTAAATAATTATTTCTTAAAATGTGGTGCCTTGGGCCCGGCGCGGTGGTGCAGTGGTTAAGGTCCTCACCTTGCACGCCCGGGATCCCACATGGGCGCCGGTTCTGGTCCCGGCAGCCCTGCTTCCCATCCAGCTCCCTGCCTGTGGCCTGGGAAAGCAGTCGAGGATGGCCCAAAGCTTTGGGACCCTGCACCCGCGTGGGAGACCCGGAAGAGGCTCCTGGCTTCGGATTGGCATAGCTTCAGCCGTTGTGCTCACTTGGGGAGTGAATCATCGGATGGAAGATCTTCCTCTCTGTCTCTCCTCTCTGTATATCTGCCTTTCCAATAAAAATAAAATAAATCTTTAAAAAAAATGTGGTGCCTTTTAGCACAAAATAGTCAACATTAGCTGGTATGTGACTTAGGCACAAAGATTTGTAGTTGCTGTAAGTACTGAAAAATAACTGTGCAAAACACATACCATGATAACTTAGGCATTCTGCCAAACTGAATCTAACTGAAAATCTTTGCCTTGAGCTCCTAACCTTCTCTGCAATTCAAAGGATTTTGGATATTCTGAGGCTTTTCAAGTAATTATTACTCAGAATACAATTATATTTAAAGTTAATAATTTTTACATTTAATCATCTTCAACTGATAAACATTTTCAAAGGGACTTTTGAATATCATCTTTTTTTTTTTTTTGAGCTAGGGTTTGATTATCAAAGAGTAGGAGAATGCAAACAGGAGAAAGAACTGTGAGTTTTCACATTTTAAAGATGCTGCCTCCATTTGAATACAACAGTGACCCCTAGTATTGTGTACTTGTGCTTGCATTGCACACAGAGCAGCCCCTCGTGTCATGAGCACATTTGAATAGAGGTCTTTTGCTGCTGTGATCTGATTCCCCATAATTTGATGTTCACAGGAGAAAGGAGGAGTCGGACAAAAATTATTTTGAAGGTACAGGCTACGCTCGAATTCGAACTCAACCCTACTCCCAGATCCTCACCTTTGCACAGACAATTCAGACCACTGTGGACAGAGGTGTGGTGTTCTTTGCAGAAAACCAGGTAATTGATGACGACCACCCCAGTACTAATGGATATATCCATTCTGCTTGACAACTTAGGCATGATTGGGTTGTTACAAACCACCAGCCACATGCAGATATTACCTGCACCTTTCCCCTTGGCCCGGGTGTGCTTGGCCCAGCTGATTAAGGAGTATATATTTTAAATTACTGGGAATGCCAGCAAAATGTGGGAGATGTTTCCCCTTTGCTGTTCTGTTCTCTTGGCTAGTTTTATTTGAAAACTGCTGTTGACCTGGTAACGTACTTATTCAAAATGAATAAGTGCTGGGGTTCTATGAGCTCTATACCTTTCAGCTTTCTGCTGTTTCCATTCTGGTCTACCTCTTCCCAGGCTGTGTGGGACTGATGGTAACTCCCAAGATGTGGAATTTCTGTACCTTAAAGCAGACAACGCTCCTACAGAACTTTCTATCCATCCTCTGGTTCACTCCTCCAATGTCCATGATATTTGAAGCTGGGCCAAGCAAAATTTGGAAGCCAGGAACTCAATCCAGCTCTCCCACATGTGATCCATTACTGCTGCTGAAGGGGTCTATAGTGGCAGGAAGCTGGAGTCAGGAACTGGAGCTGGCTATCACATCTAGGTACTTCGATAGCCATGGGCACCTTCCTTGCAGTTTTAACTATTAGGTGGATCATCAGCTCCCTGAGGGCCATTCTTAACTCCCTTAGGTTAGGAAAATCCTAGGTGACCTTCTTTAAGTGATTGCTAGCACACCCTGCTGCTCTATGCTGAGTTGGCCAGAACAGTGCTCTCCTTCATATCCACCATGAACCTTACAGCTCAATGCTGCAGAGAACCCGAGGTTCTGTAGTTGCTCTCCCCGGTAGCTTTTCTGCAAAGGTAAATATCAGCCCATGGAATCTGCTCTGAGAACATGGGATGAGGATGGAGCTTGAGATTTGACCAGGCCTACCTGCAGGGAGGCAGGGATGCAGTGTTGGCCTGAATCTCCCTTATTTGGTCTGGACCCTTCAGGAGATCCAACACTGACAATCTCAAAAGACTGCTATGGATGTAGAGAGAAACATGAATTCCAGAGGCAAGAAAGAGGACATGGAACATGAATAAGCTATAAGTTACTGCTATGCAGTCTAGTTAAGACATGTGGCTGAGTCTGACAAGGAGTCAAGAAAGGCTGGAGGGAGGGCAAGGTGTGATGGCCTAGTGACTGGATCCTTACCTTGCATTCACTGGGATCCCATGGAGGTGCTGGTTTGTGTCCTGGCTGCTCTGGTTCCTGTCCAGCTCCCTGTTTGTGGCCTGGGAGGGCAGTGGAGGATAGCCTAAAGCCTTGAAACCCTGCATCTGTGTAGGAGCCCCGTAGGAGGCTCCTGGCTTCAGATCGGCTCAACTCCAGCTGTTTTGGCCATGTGATCTGCTTTCCGGTAAACATAAATAACAAATATTTAACCTTCCTCCACCCCCCCCCCACCAAAAGAAAGACAGACATAAAGAAAGAAATGGTGGAATTCATAATATGATTAATGGGGGTAAAAGAGGATAGGGAATGACTCATTGCTGTGTGGCTGTGTGGCTGTGTGTGTGTGTGTGTGTGTGTGTGTGTGTGTGTGTGTAAGAGAGAAAACACAGTGGCAGTGTGTAGGAAGGAGAGGAGGCAGTGACAGCATGTGGGAGGCATGAGACAGACAGCTTCTGTCTGAACCCTTCCCAAGCAGAGGCAGGTGGCAGTCATGCAAGTAATAACAGTGCCCACAAGGAAGACAGCTGGGCAGACCTGGTCCCCAGCACACAGGCCTGGGCTGGAGAGAAAACTGCTGGCATTGTGGGTGTGCCCACAATGGAATCGCAAGAGGGACTGTGGCTGGTCACAGCACACCCGTGGCTTAAGAGGTGTCCTGGGTACAATCTCCAAGGAACTCCCAGAGCCAAGATGAAAGAGCCGCAGATGAGGCTGAGAGGTAGAAGGAAATTGAGAGACAGTGACAGATTTCAGGTGAGGAAGGAAGACTCTATTTGTCTCTTAAAGGTGGCAGTCCTATTTTCAGATGACGTTGAGATCTGGGGGCCAGGGCAGGTTAAGCCTGTGCTACCAGCATCCCATATGAGCTCCAGCTTGAGTCCAGGCTGCTCCACATCCAGCACAACTACCTGCTATTGCACCTGAAAAGGTGTAAAATTTGGCCCAAGTAGTTGGCCATCCATGTGGGAGATGAGGATGGAATTCCAAGCTTTCAGTTTTGGCTTGATGACCATTGCAGCCATTTGGGTTGTCAATCAACAGTTGGCAGATATCTCTCTCTCTCTTTTTCTTCCTTCCTTCCTTTCCTTCTCTACATCTATCTATCTATCTTTCTTTCTTTCTTTCTTTCTTTCTTTCTTTCTTTCTTTCTTTCTTTTCTTTCTTTCTTTCTTTCTTTCTTTCTTTCTTTCTTTCTTTCTTTCTTTCTTTCTTTCTTTCTTTCTTTCTTCTTTCTCAGTTGCCTTGCAAATGAATAAATAAATCTTTAAAAAGGAAACAACAAAGATGTATATCTCCTTGGTTTCCATTTTTGCATGCTGACAATGGAGTTTGGGACACATGATCGTGACAACAGCTGGTGTTCATTAATGTTCCTCCCAAGTGCCAGGTGCTGAACATGGTGTTTAGCCTGTCTTACAAAGCCACACCCTCCTGCTCTTCCTTGCAAGTTAAGTAGGACAGCACTTTCCTCCCTTTTCGCGAAGAGGGTTGCAGAAGCTGAGAAGAAATTGTGGCTTCGGAGAAAGTTGAGTGCAGTGCTCTGGTTGTCCATGGTGATCTGTTCCTTCCTATGTTCCAGGACCGCTTCATCTCTCTCAACGTGGAAGATGGCAGTTTCATGGTGCGGTACAGACTGGATTCAGGACCCCCCAAAGAGAAGGGTATTCAAGGCACCATCAACAACGGGAGGGACCATTCGGTACAACCTTTGCATCTGTTTCCTTGAGTTGCTAAATGTCCTCATTTCCCTAAAATGTGGGGTCAGGATCCCCAAGAAAAACCTCTGTAGTACCAGATGAGTTCCTGGGGATTGACTAAGGGACACATCCTTTGAAAATGCAAACATTCAGGCAGAAATATCCAACAGACAAATGGTATGTGTAAAAACACCATGGGTTGCAGTTGCAACATTTCTGTTACAATATTTTAGTATCAGATCTTGATCCTGTTATGGAGAGCAATGAATCTGGTGGAATACAAAAATAGCTAGGCTTATTCACACTGGGAGTGGGCTACTAATCCATCTCTCATTTCTTTCAGATTCAGATCATCGTTAGAAAAGCCCAAAAGCAAATATTGATCAGCATGCATTCTCAAAGCATTCAAATTGAAGGGGACCTCTTTGACTTCAGCACATATTACCTGGGGGGAATTCCAATTGCCATCAGGGAAAGGTGAGACCACACTTGGCTTTGATTTCTTTAAACTAGTTGTCTGTCTCAGTAGTTTTTGTTGTTGTTTTTGCTACTGATAAATCTAATCTATTTTAATTCTAAAACAAGAATCTCTCAGCATTAATAGTACAGTCACCACAGTAAAACAGATTATAAATTTTGCATCATGAGACCAGACATTTGAAGCAGGGTACCTAGGAGAACTGTGTGTCAACCTTATTGTCAATCTCTCTCTCTTTCTTTCTATCTATCTCTTTTTCTCTATTATGTGGGTGAGAAAAAGAGAAAGGAAAGTGTGGGAGAGCTCCCATCCACTGATTGACTCCCTAAATGCCGGCAAGGACTGAAGCTTAAGCTAGAGTGAAAATCACAACCCAGGTCTTCCACGCAGGCGGCCGGAACCAAAGTACTTGAGCCATCACTGCTGACTCCCTGGGTCTGCACTGGCAGGAAGCTGGAGTTAGGAGCCAGAGCTGGGGAATCTAACCCTGGCTTTCCCATGCAGGGTGTGAGTGTCTTAACCACTAGGCTAAATGCCCTCTCTATTCCATTGTTGCTTGTGGATGGAGAGAAGCCACCAGGATAGAGTTAAGGAGACAGTGCTTTCAGCAAATAGAATGGAAGCAGTATCCCTGGACCCTTCAAGCTAGCATAGGTCAGCCCAGTCTCCCCATGGCCTGAGAAGTGGGCACTGAAAACTGAAGTTGCTCCTGTGTGGCAATCTTCCCAAAAGTGTTAGAGACACTGTCTCATTCACATGGATATTCCCCACCCCACGTGTGCTATCAGACAAGGTGATGGAGATGGGGGCCCATCCTGAGTGTTGAGGCAGTCTTCCCCAGGAATGCTGGGAAGCATTGGACATTGGTTTGTATTTGTGTGATGTTAGCAGAAGACCCACAGTGAAGCCTGGGCAATCCAGGCTTATTAGAAAAGATGGCCAGCCACCAAAGAGTGGTATGACTCTGAGTTAAGTCAGCACTCAAATTATTTCTCTTTTTGATCTTCATCTAAAGATTCACATACACACACACAGATGTGGAGATGTACATACATATAGAGCAATAATCACCTGTCTTAGGACCTTGCACACAGGGCTGCTTCTCTTTTTCTGAGCAAGTTTATTCTTTGACATCTAGCTATTTTCTGTATCTCTCTATCTATCTATCTATCTATCTATCTTTCTATCTGTCTATCTATCTCTGTCTACTTATCTATCGATCTATCTGAAACACACACTCACCCACCCACCCCCACACACACACACACACCTTTTATCCATTGACCAATTTCTCAAATGCCTGCAGCATCCAACACTGGGCCAGGCCTAAGCCAGGGCCCTAGAATGCAATGGTTCCCTTATGGGCGCCAGAGATGCAACCACTTGAGCCATCACCTGCTACCTCTCAGGTTCACATTAACAGGAAGCTGGAGGTGGAAGCGGAGTTGATCCTCAAACCTAGGCCCTCTGATATGGAATACAGGCATCTCAAACATTGTTAACCACTATGCCAATGTCTGCTCCTATGCTTCAAACTTTTATTAGCAATAGCAAGAACATGTAAAAGGCATAAAATAGGCCATTCAGAAGGTTTCCTTGATCTTTCATTTCTTCAAAAGTAGCTAAGTCATATTCAGTTGCTCAGGGCTTTGCTCTGACCCTCTGAGCTAATCTTTGGTGTTCCAGGGAGTCCTCAGACTGGCCTCCTACAGGCTAGATGGACAGAAAGGGCTCTTCCCATGGGGCCAGAGCTGTGCTTGCAATGCCTATATACCCCCTGAGTGCCAGTTCAAGTCCTGGTTGCCATGCCTTCTGATCCAGCTCCCTGCTTATGTGCCTGGGAAAGCAGCAGAAGATGGGCCCCTACTACTTATTTGGGAGACCCAGATGAAGCTGCTGGCTCCTGGCTTTGGCCTGGCTATTCTGCTGTTGCATTCATGTTGAAGTGAACAACAAATAGAAGTCTCTTTTCTCTCTCTTTCTCTCTCTGTCTCTCTCCTTCCTTCCTCCCTCCCTCTTCCCTTTTCCTCCCTCCTGTCCTCTCTCTCCCCCTCCCTCCCTCTCTCTCTCTTTGTATCTCTTTGTTTCTCTTTCTCTCTGTTGCTCAGCCTTTCAAATAAAAGAGAAGAAAATTTTAGCCACAGTTCAGAGCCCGACCCTGTAAGAGAAACCTGGCAGCCCTTTCCAGGGAGGGCTGTGTTCTGACCACCTAGCTAGTCAGGGTGCACTTGTGTGATTTGGACCAGGGCACGCAGCTGTAATTGCTAATGAAGGCAGCTCTCCCTGAGTGATTCTGTGTGTATATGTGTGTGTGTGTGGTGGGGGCAGCTGTTGTATTTTCCTTTCTCACTCTAATGCATCTTCTGGGAACGGAGGCCCAGTTGTTAGAGTGATTGAATATGGTAATCAGAAATCCCAGCCTGTTGACCCCATCTGCTTCCCAGGAGAGGTACAAACTCTCCCTGATCCTGCTGGAAGGGCTGACACCAGCAAGGTCATTTTCCCTAAGAACCTAAGAACCATACCCTAGAGGTACAGAGAATAATAGCAACACATTAACATGGAAATCATCAGAAAAGCAAAAGTCAGTGAGGGATCCAGTGTTCATTCACTAAGTAGACAACATGCTTAGCATTGCATTTTGCTTGTGTTCTGCTGAGAGCTGCCTACAACAGCAGTGGAGTTGGCTCAGTTTTTACAGCCAGCTTAGCTTAGAACAAGTGTGCTACATCAGAACCTATTAATACTGTAATGTGTGCTCTCCATAGTCACAGTGCCCTAGCACGTTAGAATCAGTGCAGAAATTCAGACCTATATGTGAGCCAAAGTGACAAGACCCATCCCCATTCCTCCTCCAGGACTAGCAGAAATAAACCCATCTTAATGCCTCTGCTAGACAACGGGTGTGTAGTTAGAAGTTACGATCACTTCCAAGCACTGCAGGTACCCAGACTGTTAAGGGCTAATCTGCATGGTGTGATGGGATAAAACCCAGCTCTGCCATTTACTCACTGTGTGACCTAAGCAAGGGCCTCAACCCCACTGCACCTCATGGCCGCATCTTTAATGTGGGCACAGTAACATGCCTATCCCTTAGGGTCCCTGCTGGGAGTCAAGCATGTACAGGAACTAGCACAGCTTGGCATGTGGTAACTGCTATATAAACATTGGATCAGAAGATATCTCTGAAAAGAGGTTACTGAAAGGATGGAGTCTTAGTACCTTATCAAAACAGGTACTGTGTGTTCAAAGCCTTAATTGTCCCTCTTTTCTTTTCTGCCACCTTCTCCTTCCTTTGATCTCTGCTCTATGGAGAGAGTGACGTCAGAGGATGTTGATGTCCAACAGGCCTGTTGAAACACTTGTACAAACATGCATAAATAGACAAGCTCCCAGAGCTGAAATGGACTTTCTTCGTCTTCTGAGGCAAAAGGGCATCTTGATGAAAAATAATTAAACTTGTACCTCAATGCAAGCTAGAATTTGTTTCTTCCTTTTCCTTTTAATTAAATTTAATTTTAACACATTTGACATGCAACTTAACGGTTTATAATGAATTGAGTTAAGGCACATGCAGACACCTTTCCATGTAGAAGAAGCCTTGGGGATTTCTAATGAAATCAGCTTGGGTTTCCTTAGCACATCATTTGTGGAAGAAACACAAATATGTATTTGCCTGGATGCTAGTCACTTCATGTGTGCTAATGCTTTATGTGAATTCAGTGCCAGACTTATTCTGAAGTCCAAGGGAGATGATAAGGCACTGTGTGGGAAGACTTCAGAAATCCTTGCTAGAGAGGGTGTTGTGGCCCTGGGGATTAAGTGGTCGCCGGGGATACCTGTATCCCTTTTTATAGTACCGGGGATTGAGTCCTGCATCCAGTTTCAGTCCAGCTTCTTGCTAATGCACATAAGAAGCAGCAGATGATGGCTCAGGTACTTGAGTCCCTGCTATCTATGTCGGAAACCTAGATTGAGTTCTAGACTTCCGGTTTTGCCCTGGTACAGCTCTGGATATTGTAAGTATTTTGGAAATAAACCAACTAATAGAAGATAACTCACTCTCTCCCTGATCCCTGACTGCATTTCAAATAAATAAATAAATATTAAAAATTGCTGGTATTATAGCAGTAATATGGGGATTGTCACTAATCCTATAGCTCATGCTGAGTCCCTACTTGGTCCAAGTACCATTTGAGTGTGTTACACATACTATTTTATTTTTAAAAATTATTTATTTAAGAGATGAGTAAGAGAGAAAGAGAAAAACAGAGAAAGAGATATTCTATCAGTCGGTCTACCCACCGAATGGCCATAATGGCTGGATCTGGGCCATGCAAAAGCCAGGAGCCCTGAGCTCCCTCTTGGAGCTCCATCTTGGACTGTCTCCTGCTGCTTTCCTAGGTGTGTTACCAGGAAGCTGATACAAAAGCATAGCAGTGAGGATTTGAACCAGTGTTCATTCAGTTTCTAGGTTTCACAGACTATATTCAAATCAGGATACATTACCCATTCATTGAACAGAACCAAAAATAGCACTTCATTTCTTCAGGGTTTACAGTGGCTTGCTTAAGAAGCAGCAGAAAAACTGTGACAAAAGTTTGTAGAGCATCTGTGGCTCTTACAATTTGTTTATTAATATACTAATGCATATTTATATAGTATGTAGTATATTCACTTGTTAATGTGCCCACCCACCTTGCAATACCATGATTCTGAGAGGTAGGGCTAGACAGTTGCAGATATCATGCATGTTCTTTATCTCTTTGCCTTTTGGAGACTCTGACATCCTTCTGTTAACAATGTTAGCTGCATTTTTAAAATGAGGAATGCCAACTCACCCAGAAAGGAAGTCAGTTTTCCTAGGATCATATGGCAGCATCCCAGGAATTCCATGGGTACCGATCACGTTCTTGCTTGTGGAGAGAAGTATTGCAGAAAGTACAGTTCTTGGGGAAAGCCCAGTGTAATCGCTTCTCTTCTTATTTTTTCTATCCCCAATCAGATTAAACATTTCTACACCTGCTTTTCGAGGCTGCATGAAGAATCTGAAGAAGACCACTGGTGTCATTCGGTTGAATGACTCTGTTGGAGTAACCAAAAAGTGCTCCGAAGACTGGAAGGTAAGAAGGAGGTCAGAACGTTGAGATTCGTCAGAACATCCAGACTCATGAACACACCCCAGCTAGAGACTGTTTCCTGGCAGCACACTGTGTTAGAGTAGCAAGCTCATATATGCTGTGTACTTGCAATGGACAGCATGTCATGTCCTCAGGTTCACTTACTAAATTTCAGGGAGAGGAGTGAACATTGTAGGATAGAGGACAGAGCTGCCGCTTGGCATGCCTGCATTTCATATCTGAGTGCCTACATTCTAGTTCCAACTCTACTTCCAATCAAGCTTCCTGCTTACATGCCAAGGAGGCAGCAGATGACTGCTCAAGTTCTGAGCCCCTGCTCCCACATTACAAGCCCACATAGAGTTGATCATTCCTGGCTTCAACCTGGCTCAGCCCTGTGGCTGTGGTACACAGGGGGAATGAGGCATCAGATGGACGATTTCCTGTTTATCAAACAGATCAATAAATAGATTGTTTAAAAATAGCAAAATAAATGTGCCGGAGAGGACGAGACCCATTTGTGCAACACAAAACCCTATAGATGAAGATTATTTCTTATGTAGAAAAGCAAGCTCCATATCTTTCTGAGGGGCTGCATGAATCTCATCAGTCCTTTTTGGGGAAGTGAGACAAGCAGAATAAAACACTGTACATCAGCCTGGAAATGATTGCAGCATAGGTGATGAATGCTATCTCTGTTTTGCAGCTCGTGCGATTGGCTTCATTCTCCAAAGGAGGATATTTGAGTTTCTCTAATTTGGGTCTTCCATTGCCGAACCACTACCAGACCTCATTTGGGTTCCAGACATTTCAACCTAGTGGTATATTACTAAATCATCAGACACGGGTATGCAATAGTGTGCGTTCACATTGAGTCAAACATGGAGCTCCAAATTTGATGTAAAAAAATGACAGGGAGCTTTGGAAAGTGGAGGAGTTAGACAATCATTTCCTCCATTTCCCATCTTGGGGTAATTCTACAATAAGTCAAGTTTAGAAAGTCTACTGTAATGTACAGGATTGAGTTGATACATGTGACAGTGGAGGCATTCCAGACACATCCTAGAGGAATTGTCTTCTGTGTCTGATAGGTTAGCCGATAAATATGTCTAAATTAGCATTCTTTGACCCAATTCATAATACATACTGTCAACTGGAAAAAATCAAAATACAAACAGCAGTGGCTATAATGTGCTGCAAAATTGTTTTAGACTGAAAGTGCACAAAAAATATCACCTCTTTTTAAAGAATACAAACTGGACCTGGTAGAGAACACAGTTAAAATGAGAGCTGCTGAAATTACATATAATTTTTATTAATAATTGACAGAGTCAAATCATCTTGACTAAGTTTAGATCTGCATAGTTTAACAGGAAAAACTGTATTTCCTAGAAATAATGACCAGATAATTTAAAACAAATGCACAAGTACATAAAAGAAGAAATTATTATTATCATCATAAATGAAAAAAAATGATAAATCAACTCTTTGCTGTAAAATTCATTCAGAAAAGAATCTTGATGGTAATCAGTTCATCCAAGTGAAAGTAAAGATAGAAAAACTTAGAAGTGATTTAGCTATTTTGTATAATTGATTGAGACATTAGATTGCCTTAGTAAGTATAAGTCCAGAATAGTGACTTTAACAAACTTATTAGTAATGTAATGATTTGTGTAAGATTTTTAGATATTTTTAAAAATGAAGTCAAAATACTGAAATAATACTCTTCACTTCAGAATGACAAAGTCAAAAGACTGTGGGTCAAAGCGTCCAGTTTCATACATAGTTTGTCTGTAGTAAGGTATTGGCATGCTCATTGTACATGCAGAGGGTTTCTTGATGTGATCCTCCGTGTTAATTTCAGACGAGCAGCCTACAGGTCACTCTGGAGGATGGTCATATTGAAGTGAGCACCAAGGACAGCAGCGGCACACTTTTTCGATCTCCGCAGACATACATGGACGGTCTGCTGCACTACGTGTCTGTAATAAGTGACAGTGCTGGGTGAGTGCCATGGTGCTTCCCCGGGCTCTGTGTAGTTCAACAGAATCTTCTTGGTGCCTTTTTGACAAATATATTTTGTCCTTATATATCTTGCCTTTATTTCTTGTTCTATAACAATTTCCTCATTAAAAATAATCAACAGCAGGACAAATAAAGAAATCATGGTGTATTCATAATAAAATGCTATATTAACAGTAGGAAAGAAAGCATTAGAACTATGTTTGATGATGTGAATGGACCTTACAAACATACTGTAGAGCAAAACAGATGAGTTCACCTTTTAGGGTCTCATTTATACTAAACTTTAAAACCAGCAGAATCGATGAATGAGATCTGAATTCAGAGGAGTGGTCATCCTCGGACAGCGATCAGCGATGCGGGTGGGAGAGCACTGAGCAACACATGACAGGCTTCCTGGAGTCCTGACCCATTCTGGTTTTTGTTTGGGTTAGGGTTAGGTCGGTGTATTCAAGTTGTTAAAAAATTAAAAATAAAAAAATTGGGTTGAACACTTAGATATATGCATTTTCTGTATGCATATAGTGTTTTAATAAAATGTTACATATAAATAGAAACACATTGAGATTATTAATGCTCTTTTTTAGTTAAGCCTGATTTAACTGTATATTTTCTGTTATGGATACTGAGGCAAAGTCAACTGACGTCATTGCGAGAATCAGCTTCCCAGCAGTTCTCACCTTGTTCTTCTCTCCTCCCCTTTCAGCCTCCGGCTTCTTGTTGATGATCAGCCTCTGAGGAGCAGCCAGAAGCTGCAAGGCTTTTCAAATTCCCAGCAGTCTCTGCGCCTGGGCGGGAGTTCTTTTGAGGGTTGTATCAGCAATGTTTTTGTGCAGAGGTGGGTGTTCTGTGCTCTGTGGGCAACTGAGGAAAACAGCTTGCCCACACTCATGTCATCTCAAGGGCTGGGATGCCAAGGTCAGCATTGTTAGTGTGTGTTGCATGCCATTCTCATATTGTAAAACTTTGAAATGCCACCTGCTTTAGCAATATATACACATTTAAAAATTAACTACCTCAGGAGTCCTGGGCCCTGTTTCCATTTGAAAAAGTTTGGGCACATAACATTGGAAAATACCTTAACTTTCAGATTACGGCCATGAGAAATAATCACACTGACCATTTGATTTATATAAAGATAGGAAAGGCAGATATACAGAGAGAAGGAAATATAGAGAGAAAGGTTTTCCATCTGCTGATTCACTCTCCAAGGGACTGCAATGACTGCAGCTGAACCAATCCAAAGCCAGAACCCTGAAGCTTCCTCCAGGTCTCCCACACATGGGCAGAGTTCCAAGGCTTTGGGCTGTCCTCAGCTGCTTTCCCAGGCCATAAGCAGGAGTTAGATAGAAGTAGAGCAGCTGGGAGAAGAATCAGTGCCCATATGGGATCCTGACAGATGCAAGGTGAGGATTTAGCCACTAGACTATAGCACCAGACCCAACCATTTGATTAATCAAGATTGCACAATAAGATCTAATCAGTTCTCCACTACTTGCAAGGGCAAGGAATTGCATGAACCAACATAGGGCTAAGAAAACCAATCTCAATGTTGTACGTGCCTGTGAGTAGAGAAAGAAGTGCTTGGCGCTTCCATGCAGGCAAGCATTTAAATATGTTCATTTGACAGTAAGCAATTGCTTTAAGGTAAGAGGCAATATTCTCCCCAGGCAAGAGGGAGAGCCTGGTTCTAGATACTCTGGCTAGGGCCTGCATGTACTGTGACAGTGCAGTTCACCCACCCTCCTGTGGGCTCAGTGTGACTCAGGATCTCACTCTCCTCCTGGTGAAATGTTGTCCTTGCCTGTCTAGTATAGTGTTTGCAGCAGGAAGTGCAAGTGAGGGAGAAGACAAAGAAGTGTTCACACCTGTCCTTGTGAGGTTCCGGAAATAGTCGCGAGAACAAGCAAGTTGCCCCTGTGTAACTTGCTGCCTGAATGTCATCTGATCAATCCTTCCATAAACTCCCTTCTGATGTCTCCCAATGTTGACCATCATTCCGTGTCATCCAGTGTCCATGTTTCCCTCTGAATGAGATTTGCATGTCAGATATGATGACATCGTTCCAAAGAAGGAATAATCTTATTTATCCCCAACCATGGTCCTGCCAGTCCAAGTCAATAAAATGTCTCAAGGCTTTTTCAGTTTTCTAGATGGGATGTAGAGGTGGTAGGTTTACCTGGGACCCATGACAGTAAGATGTGTGCTTCGGAAAGGAGCTCTCTTTACCCATGAGTCTGCCTCAATGTGTTGGACTTCAGCAGCAACCTTTACTCCCATCCTTGTTCCAGATTATCACCGAGTCCTGAAGTCTTAGATCTGACCAGTAGATCTAACAAGCAAGACGTGGCCCTGGGAAGCTGCAGTTTGAACCAACCTCCTTTTCTAATGCTGCTTAAAGGTTCTGCAAGGTTTAACAAGGCCAATGCTTTCGATATCAGCCAGGTTAGTGTTGCCATCCTATCCTGGTTTCCACTTATTCCTCCCCCACCCCCCGCCCAGGGGATTCTCTTAAACCTGCCTTATGGGAGATGGTGGCAGAACAGGAGGAAAATCACATATTCCCACAGTGATGGGGGTCTCCATGAAGTACCATTGCTGGGCCATCAACGTTTGAACCACCTCAAAATGTCAAATTGGTTTTCTTTGTAGCTACTATTTTATATCTTGATGAGAATTTGTGGTTTTTGCAGTCACAGGAACATACAGTACTTTGGCTGGGGGGGTCCTAACTCTATAGTTTATGTGTCGCTCTTTAACATTATTGTATGTCCCTAGCAGATGTAATGATTTTGTCTAGAGTACAAGGACCATGTCCCTTCTGCCATTAGATGTCCAATATGCTCTAATGCAATTCCTATGACAAAATCAGCCTGTGTACTCAGGCCCTGTGGAATCTAGTGCAGCTTACACCTTGACTGCACCTTAGGAACATCTGGGGAGTACTACAGCTGCTCTGCTGTACTTGGTTGCCTGTTGGAACAGGCCCAGGCTTCATGGTTTTCAAAGCTCCAGTGTGTATCACTGACACTAAAAGGAAATGCAATTCCTTATGTGAAAGAGTGGAGACATTGTAATGACTGAACACAGGACTAGGACCTAAAAAATTTCTTACTTAATCTGAGATCACCACGAATAATGTAAGTGGACAATCCTGAGCAGCCCTCATCTGCCATGCATTTCACTAAGCACAAAGTTGATTTTCTTACTTTGTAACTAAATCTTTAAATATCCTCAAAGAGTAAGGCCATTCTAGCCACATCTTCTGGAAAAAGAAAGCTGTGATTTGGAAAGATAAGCACTGTGCGCAAGGTCCCACAGGTGCAAGGTGGAGTTGGAATTACAACACAGATAGTTCGGAGAGTGAGACAGAAAGCAAGGTCCACCCACATTCACTCAGTTATATTCCACCCACACTCCCAACAAACCCAGCTTTGAAGTCATCTTCTCAAGAAAAACCCTTGGATCTGTGGGGCAGCGAACATTTTCCTCTTGAGTGAATATTGTTGCCTCATGAACAGAAGTCCAAAGCCCAGAGGCAGCATGTGGGTGGACCACACAAGTCCTTGGCATGCTCTCTGTCCACAGGAACAAACACGAAACACAAAGTTATGTAGTTTACTTAAAGGTGAAGAACACACACATGCATTGCCTAGGAGTAGAGTGGACCAGGAAGGGAAAAGATGAGGGAGGCAAGGGAGGGTGTTCCCACCTTCCATCTCCTCTTAGTTCTTGTTGGCCCTTCCCAGTTGCCTATCTCTTAGGAGGGTGGGAAGGGGCATGGTTATGTGGTACCACCCCCAAGTCCCAGGTAAGGGAAAATACATCCTAGGAAGGAGGTTATGTGCATTGGCCGGTGTGGTTAGTTATATCCATTCGGCAGTGTGTCTGCTGTTTTATTTAACAGAGGTGGGAAGGATCCAGCTTTGGAAAGGATAGCTTATGAAGTCAAGACCAAGCTGGGACTCCTCTCCTGTCCCTTCCTTGCCAGTGAATGGCCTGCTGGAAGGTTTCACGCTGGTAACTCCCCACCCATGGAACCACTGGCCAGATCTTTTATTTCTGTATTAAACTCCTCTCTGAGGATTCAGAGTGAAATGAAGTAAGACCTAGGGTGAGATAATCATTCTTTACTCCCTGCTGAGAATTACCTCTCCTGACTTTTTGTTTCTCTCCCATGCAGCCATTGCACGACACACCAGTGGCTTCTCTGAAGAGCATGGAGGCATGGAAACATGCTAGGTCTTGCCCACCACTTCCCAGGGCCCAGGCCAGTCATGGAGCCCTCCGGTTTGGGGACAGTCCCACCAGCCACTTGCTATTCAAGCTTCCCCAGGAGTTGCTGAGAGCCAGGTATTTTCAAATGTTCTCATTCCACTGCCAACTCTGAGCTTGATTGCCGTTGAACCTCAGGGATATGTTGGCAGCTTGATGCCATGCATCTGCCTCTTGTGAAGGTGGTACCGTCATCCCTGTGAGCCAATGTGCCAACCTGCACAGAAGGGGGAATATGAGTGCCAACCAGGAGCTTCCCCCACAGCTGGATTGCAAACGTGACACACAAGGCTCTGACACTGAAACAGCTCAGCTCAGCTCCGGCTTCCAGCCAGCAGGCTTCTAAAAATAAGACTGATGCTGTTTTCTTCTAACACTGCTATTTTTTTCCCTGATAAATCACCTATCTTCTCTTGCATCCTGTAGAAGGAAGTCATTCTTTTAGGTAGACTCAATGTGAGCTAAATCAGGTTTAGAGAATGCATTTAGACTTTTTATGCTAACAAGTTGCATTGCTGTGGGCAAGGAGGGGATGAGCGGTAGTATTAAAGATGTCAGAAGAAAATCAAAAGGCCAGGTTTGTCATTTTCCAGTGTTTTGAAGGAGACAAAATGAAAAGGTGGCAGTCATTCCTTCAGCACTCCTATAAGAAATGCATGTCCCAGGGGTCAGGAAGACCTGGCTTTAGCTCCTGCTTTTCAATCCAGACGGGCCACCTTATAGTTACAGAAACCCAGGTTGTAAGTTAAGTCCATTCAGCAGCTATGAAGCACAGAGGCCTTGGTGGGGTTAAGTAATTGAGAAGTTTATTGTGGGAAAGCTTATGAAGGATGCTGGGAGAGGGGCAGGTGGAAGGGCCTCAGACTATAGTAAATCACTGTGGAAATCTGGGCCAGAGATGACCCCTGGGGAAATGTCCAGACTGGCCTGAGGGGCCCAGCTCCAGTACACCTCCCCTCACAGTCCTTGGTGGGCAGCCATGACCCTACCGGTCCTACACACCTAGTGTGATGCTGGGTGTTGCCTGTCCACTATGTTCCCCAACAGCAGGTTTTCTGGGAGTTAGCGCAACTTCCTTGCCACTGCAGTCTGTGTAGCTTTGCCAAGCCAAGGCTCCCATGTTTTAGCAAAATGAGACATCTTCCTGGACCTCAGTTTTCTTATGAGTTACGTGGAAGCTGCCTATGTTCTCCTTGTAGGGAGGGAAGAAAGGTGAGAGCTGTTTGGGAGCTTGGTTTTGGAAAGCCCACTCCAAAAGCCATGCAAGCAGAGACACATCAAGGTTAGAAATAAGGAATGCTGGTTTGTAAAGGGGCACCTGTGGCTGGAGGCTCCAGGGATCCCCTGTTACATGCATGGAAAGTCCTGGGGTTCCTCATTTGTCAAAACTGGTAGAAGACTTGAGTAGGAACGGGGGATTGTGCCCTGTTACTACTGGACAGGGAGGCTCTACTGCTGTCACAGCTTGCATTGTCAAGCTGGCCTTCATGACAACAATCTCTCTTGTTTTTTAAAAAATGGCTGCAGTAGATGCTGTCCCTCCTGCTCTGTCCCCTACCCACCCTCCTTCCCCAGCGCCCTCCCTGGCATCTTCTCTCCCAGCCCATTCTTGGGAATGACTCATCTGGGTTCTGAAGAGGCTGCAGCCATGCCCTCCTGAACAGCTTTGTGTCACATGTCATACATGAAAAGGGCAGCATTTCAAAAGGCAAAGGGAATAAGCATCCCATCATTAGTAAATGTAGCTGTGACATTATTGTAATCCCAGCTGGTGTAGCTCTCAGATGGTGTTCTTAGGAAGCTGTACGACTTGAGGAGCTGACTGTGGTTCTTCTGATTTACATTCTAGAGATGTTTTGCTTCTTCCTGAACCCCAATGTCATTGTTTGAATGCTGATAAATGCATAAAGAGGCTCAGTAGCCATCCCAGCTTCCCTCTCTGCTCCTAGTCACGAACAGCAACACCTCCAGCCACCTGCACACAGTGGAATCTGAATCCACTATTGCCTTTTTTTTTTTTCAGTGTTTGGCAGTTAGTCTTTTCTGAACAAAAAAGAAAATCACTTTAGGAAACATTCTGGAAAGCATATGTCAAGTCTGATCACCAAGCTCATGTATGGAAAGTACTTCACATTCTGTAGCACTTGCTAATCTTTTCCCTCAAGTGGCTAACCAACCCCCACCTTCCCCAAATCTCCACCCCAACACAGCAACATTGAGCCATGTTGCCATCTGGTTGGTTGAATTTAACAAACATAGATTTCCTTTTCATTTGGAAGAGGGTTGCCCTCAAGGAAACGTGCTCATCTGAAGAGTAAATGTGCAGCTCAGCCTTCTGGTATTAAAAAGCCAAGAGAATTAACAGTGCAATGTTCTTCTTCCATTGTGAGGTTCTGTTTCCAGATTTTCCATTGCACACGTCACACATTTCAGGAACTATTTATTCAGTGCCTGTTGTGGAGCTGGACTGGAGATACCACCCAGCTATGAACAGGATAAACCCAGTTTCTGCCTTCTAGCCAGAGTGTGTCTAGACATGATCTTCAGGGAATAAGTAATGATGGCTGACTGAAGGCTAGCTCTCCCACTTCCTCTTCTTGGAGAACCTTTGGGAACCCCAAAGTGCACCTAGGAGCCACAGTGGCTCAAGGAACAGAATATCCATTACTGTACTTCCAGGATTGTACCCAGCACACACTCATTATGTTTTTTGGATGGGCAGATGAGAAGTGAGTTTTCACAGAAAGTCTTACTTAGCCGAAATGTACTTGATGTATAATTGCCATGCAATTGGAAATTAACTTTCATTATTTGGTTTTGGTCTCATTTCTCTTCTATCATAGGTGGGTGTTAGAGTCTGAGAAAAGTATATGTGGATGAGACAAAGTATATGTGTACTCTGCACCCTGTGTTAGATACAAGGGGGCTTTAAAAAGTCCATGGACAAGTGGAATGGAAAGATCATGCACATTTCTCTGTGAACTTTTGAAGCCCCTTTGAATGTCTTAGTAAGAAGGAAACACCTATTTAACACTTCACTCACATCATCACATATACATTGTCCCCTATTCCTCCTACTGTGTCCCTGTTTCCATGAACATGTGCACGTTGGATTGTATGTTCATGGGCTTAATGAGCATAAACTGTAGTATGAAGTCAGACATGCAAATGCAGATTGTGGGATTCCACCTGTACATATGTGATGCACCTGAAGGCATCCAATTCACCCAAAGGGAAAGTGGAAGTCATTGCCAGGGGCTAGGGGAGGGGAGACTGGGGAGTCCCTGGTGAATGGATGGAGATTCAGATTTGCATCTGGAAGGGTTTTGGAGACACCATACAGCAGTGTGAACACACTTAGCCCTCCTGTCCTGCGGATAAGCTAGTTATCTTAGTCCCTTCTTTGGTGGCTTCAAAAAATACCCAAGCAACCATCAAAGACTGATTCAGCCCATGATGCTGGGGGCTGGAAGGTCAGAGCCAGTTGTGGTTGGCCCCTGGAGAGGTCCCTTAACTCTGTCACAACATGGCAATGAAGCAACAAGAAGCAAGTTGTATGCTGAGAGGGCCAGGTATACAGGATTGTCCCACTGGATGCTCACCAACCCTCCGGGGAACTAGCTGGTCTTTCCATGGCTACGTTAATCCCTTCCCAGGGCAGTGCCCCTGTGACCCAACCACCTCTCACTAGACTCTGCCTCTTTAACATGGCCACATTAACATGGCCACCACCCTGGGGACCAAGCTTCTACCACATGAGACTTGTTGGGGCTCAAACCACAAACCTTCAAACCCCATCCACACCTTAGCAGTGGTGAATTTTGTGTTACGTGAATTTTAGCTGAATTTTCTGTGTAAGTGTGGAATTTTTTTTTAAAGCCGTGCCATGTTCCTGCTCACATGTGCTGGGATGTTCTCTACAGGCTAAGTCAGCCACTGACGTTGCATATGGTTCTTCCCATACCCAAACTGTTTGCAGGTAACATAGAACAGCTCTCCCAATTCCCTGGAGAGATGAGTCAGTTCATCAGTACAAGCCTTTGTGTGTTCATTTAAAAAAAAAAAGAATGATCTCTCTGGTATTTGTGCTTCACCCTCCTGCACAGCTCTAAGATACACAGCTACCTTAGAAAATGTAACCAAAGCATCCTCATTGTCGCATCAGAGATATACAAAATCCCATTTCCCTTCAAGATCTACCACCGTCTCCCCCATCCCAGGTCACAGTTCACTGTGGACATGCAGACAACAGCTTCCAGAGGGCTGGTGTTCTACACGGGCACGGAGAACTCCTTTCTGGCCCTTTTCCTGACAAAAGGACGCCTGGTTTTTGCACTGGGAGCTGGAGGAAAAAAACTGCGGCTCAAGAGCAAAGAGAAATGCAATGATGGCCAGTGGCACACGGTGAGGACTGAGAGGGCTGTACCTGCGCCTCCAGGTGGGGGGTAGGTATCCAGGTGGGAGGTTCAAAACAGGATCCTGGGCATCCTTCTTAGGCACTAAGGCCTAAGTGCTGTGAGGACTTGTGCAGCTGGAGACGCTGAGGGACAAACATCTTAGTGCTATAGTGATTCCCATGTCAGGCGGGGAACATCAACCTAACTGCCCAGTGGGCTTTCTTTGCTGTGTCTTCAATCTGTTTGGTGACCCCCCTGGGCCGCCTCCTTCCCCTCCACATCCCTACTCCACCTCCCCTGCTTTTTGGACAGTCTCTCTCTAGCTTACCTCCAAGGCTCTGGGTCCCTCTCTGTACTTGGAATACCTTCCTCGGGGTTCAGGCTTAAAGACCTACAATCAATCACAGCTACCCAGCTCTTGCATGGGTGCATCCTAGATTTAAAGAAATATAATATACGGCCAGAGGACCTAAAACGTTTTTTTTGAGAAACAGAGAAGGACAGACAAAAAGGTTCCACCCACTGGCTTACTCCTCAAATGCCCACAGTGGCTGGGCTTGTCCAAGACTGGAACCAGGAGCTAAGAACTCAACCCAGGTCTTCCACATGAGATGGCAGGAGCTCGATCACTTGAACTATCACTGCTGCCTCCTGTGATCAGCACTGGCAGGAAGCTGGACTCAGCAACAGCATAGGGATCTGAACCCAGATTCTCTGGTATGGGACATGGAGCATCTTAGCAACTAGGCTGGACACCTGCTCTGTTCCTAATTTTTTTTTTTCTAAAGAGGGAACTGGAACTCTGAGAACTTACGTTATTTGAGTTGCATTCACTCAGTCCTTCAGCAACTGTTCCATGAGCTGCTATCTTAGAAAATGTAAGCAAAGCATCCTCATTGTAGCATCAGATACCGTGGGTACTTGGAGAAGACTGAGAGTGAGGAAAGGAAATAGCAGGAAGGTTGTAGATATGGTAGTGAAGAGAGGCCTCCGACAGAAGTGGGCATCATGTGAAGGTGTTGGGAGAGAGTTCCCAGGCCCAGGGACAACAAATACAGAGGCCCTGAGGTGGAACTGCCTGAGTTAGCAGAATATAAAGGGACCAAAAATAGTATTAGAGAGGCAAAGCCCTGGTTGCTTAAGCTTTGAAGACCAAGTTCCCTGAGACTTTTAAAGAGCCTTAAACTCTAGTGTGAGTGGGTTTGGGGTTTGCTGCAGAGATTACAGAGGGTTGAAGGTAGAAGTTGGAGGACAGCAAATGAAAGTTACTGCCTTTGCCACAAAGGCTGCTGTGGAAGGTGAAGAGAAAGGGAGGGCTTGGGTAACAGAGTTAATGGCCGGGTGTTTGATGAGATGGACTAAGGAGAGAGGAGCGAGACATGCCTAGAGAGAAAAGTTTTGAGCTGGGGATGACAGGAGACCTGCTAGGAAGACACCGCCCTTGTGGTCCATAGGCCATCACAGTGAAACCTGGAGGTCAGTGAACAGCAGGGGCTCAGGAGCTCTGCACAGAGAGCATGATCCCTCGCGTCTCAGTAGGTACTAGCCCTGCTGAAACCACATGAGATCCTGGGGATCCTAACCTTTGGCACAGAGTGTAAGATGCATACACTCCTATTGGAAAAGGAAGCAGCCGTATTGAGCTTTTCTTATGTGTGTGGAGGGCTTGGGGAACTTAAAAAAGTTCCTGGAGAGCCAGATGTTTTGCCTGCAGAATGGGATGCTCATCAACTTGCCCATGTCCTGTGTTGCAGGGCCTGGGTTGGATACTTGGCTCTGGCTGCTGATTCTAGCTTTTTGCTAGTCTAGTAGACCCTGGGGAGCAGCAGGAGAAAAATCTGGTACTTAGGCCCTGCCTCTCACTTGGGAGACATGGAAGGAGTTCCTGGATCCCAGCTATGGCCTTGGCCCAGCTCAACCCCCAACTGTTACTAGCATTTGGGAAGTTCCTTATCAGTTTTTCTCTCTCTCTTTCTCTTTCTCTTTCTCTCTCTCCCTGTCTCTGTACCTCTCAATTACATAAAGTTTTTTTTTAAGTTCATGGAAAATGAAATCAAAACTTTATTTGGGCACAGAAAGTTTTTGAAACTCATGTATGTGATGGATTTTAAGAAAGTTTGTGGAAAATACATACCATATAAAAACTATGCATTTTATTTTTATTTATGCTTATTTTTATACCAAAATAGGCTTGCCTTGTTTATTCTGTTTTCCAGGAACTTTTGGAAGTTCACTCACCTAACTCCCTTCCCCTGGCTTTGTACCAACAATTATGTTCCTTCCCTTCTTTCCCTGACATTTGTTTACTTAGGTGCCAATGATTGCCTATCTTTTTTCATAGATTTCAAGATCAGTTGCAGTTTTGGATTGGTTCATGTTTAGACTCCATTAAAAATAAAATGGCCCTGTGAGCACTAAACAAAGCCCCAGTGACCAAAGGTAAAAATCTGATTCATTTTCTGTCCTCTGAAGGTGGTGTTTGGGCAAGATGGAGGAAAGGTGCACTTGGTTGTGGATGGCCTGAGGGCACGAGGAGGAAGTCTGCCTGGAAACTCCACTGTCAGTGTCGGAGCCTCGGTTTACCTGGGAGCCCCTTCGTCAGGGAAACCAAAGGTAAGAAGTCACCCCTTGGAGTCCAAAGTAAAAATCACTCACCTTATATCACAGTCATTCAAGTTCCATGAGTACTCTGAGAATCTACAAATATTTTGGAAGCCTTTTAAAATGCCTAACTCAGGTTCAAAGCCGTAGGAGACAGGCCATCATTCACAAAGCTTTTTGAGGTGCAAGTTGAGATACAAACTCTGTAGGACTCAATCCAGGGCTTCCCTCCCCCGCCCCCCACTGGCTCCCTTTTGTTTTTCTTTGAAGATTAATTTATTTAAGTAAAAGGGGGAATGACAAAGAGACAGTTCTTCCATCCACTGGTTCCCTCCCCAGATGGTTATAACAGCTGGGCAGGCTGAAACCAGAACTCTACCTGGATTTCTCGTGGGTAAATGAATCCAAGCCATCTTACCCTACTTTTCCAGGCACAATAGTAGGGAGATAGATCAGAAGCAGGATTTCTGGGACTATTGTGGATTATGCTTCTATAAATATGTGGTTACAGGTCATTTTCTCAAATGCACAATTCATTTCCTTTAGATACATTCCCAGAAATGGGATAGCTGAGTCATACAGTAGATCAATTTTCTCCATACTTACTTCCACAGTGGCTGAACTAGCCTGCACACCAAAAGTAGAGTAAGGTAACTTTCTCCTCACATCCACACTAGCAGGTGTTGTAGAGTTCCAGATGTAGACCAGTCTTGCTGGAGTTAGGTGGAACCTCAATGTGGTTTTCCCTAATAGCTAGGGAGCCAGAGCATTTTTTCATGTCTATAAACCATTTGAATTTGTTCTTTTCAAAAATGCCTGCTCATTTCCATTGCCCATTTCTTCACAGGGTTGTTTGTTTTGTTGTCATTGCGTTTCTGAAGTTCTTTGTAAATCCTGAATGTTAGTCCCCTTTCTGTTGCATAGTGTGCAAAGATTTTCTCTCATTCTGTTGGTTGCTTTTTCCTTGATCATCTCCTTTGCTGTACAGAAGTTTGTAGTTTGATGTAATCCATTTGCTTATTTTGGCTTCGACTGCTTGTACTTTTGGTGACATTTCTAAGTCCCTTGGTTCTTATTCTAGGTACTCAGTGCCCTTGTTCGTCACCACGCAGGGCTCTGTATGGCCCATGGGTGTTTTGCACTGATATTTGGCCTCAAACTCAAGTTGGTTTGTAATATAGAATAACTTTCATATCTACATTATAAATACACACACACATATATATATGTGCCTCATAAATATATGAATGTACTTCAAAAAGGTTCATGGAAATGGATTTAAAGAAAGATTTTTGGTGCAGCTTTTAAAATCCTTTCATACTTTTTTTTCATAATACATATGTCCATGAACAGAAGAACCCTCTTGTAACAAGTTCATAGTGTATACTTTGTAATATAGATCTGTGTACCTCATGGTAGTTGCTAAGTTTCATTCAAATGTTTGCTTTTCCTCTATCTTTGCACCTATTTATATCCCAGCTAAATCACAGGATGGGACAGCTATTCTAGGGCACAATTTGGGCATTATTTTGACCTGGATAAATTGTTGTAGCCACCTTTATCATTTTCAGCACTGTAATAACTGGAGCACCTAATAGCTTCCAATTTCCAATATTCTTTATGAGCCAAAGTCCTTTTTGTAGCTTCCCTTTCACGTGAGAGTATAAACCATAGTTAGCCTTGTTCCCCATTAATCACCCAGTCTCTGCTCCTGAATACCGAAAGTACAGTTGCTTTTAGGGCTTCATTGTCAGGTTGTGGCCTGTCCTACAGAGTCTCAACCAGATTTCTGGTGTAGGTTTTCATCATACAGTCTGACAAGTGTTAAGAAACCGAGAATGCCCTAAGGAGCCCAGTCACTGGCCTATCATTGATGCTGGCACCATACATATGTCAAGACAGATTGAGTGTCCCTGATTCAGAATGATCTAGCCTGGAAATGTTTCAGATTTTGCATTTTTTCAAATTTTGGAATTAGTTGCATATAAATAAATAATTTGTTAGAGATGGGACCTGTATATAAACACAAAATTAATGCATGTGTCATACGTACGTTATACACATAACCCAAAAGTAATTTTAGACAATATTTTTAGAGCCTCTGTGGTTTTGCCTATAGCCTAACACATGAAACCAGCTGTATAATTTTCTCCCTGTATCATCAATTTAGTGCTCAAAGTTTCTGATATTGGAGCGTTTTGCATTTTAGAGTATGGATGATGTAAAACCTATATGGCCAAATTCCCTTGCAATTACCCTCTCTTGCCTTTATCAAGTAGAATTCTAGAGTCCTGGAAGCATTTATTTTAGAAAGAAACATAGGGATTTTTTTTTCCAGTTTAGAGACTTTATTCTTAAACTGATTTAAGAATTTTATGAAAACTGCAGTACTTCTCCCCCAGGAAAGTGCCCACATGGAGGCCATCTGGTGGATAATAAAAGGGGTTCCTAAACTCCTAGTCCAGGACTGTTGGTTCAGGTGAGGAGCTGCCATGGGCTTCCTGCTGACACCCTGGTGATACACTTGTCAATAGTGATTATTGGTGCTGTGCTGAACTCAACAATGTAGGAAAAAATTTTTTTTGCTTGATTAATTTTGGAAAATTTTAGCCTCTTTTTTTCAGTTAGACACCTTGTCTTATGCTATCACAGAGAATCATGAAATCCTAAGAAGTAGCTTATACCTGCAAAGAGACAGGTGTGTGAATGATTGCTTGGAAACTGCCCCTGTTGCAGCTCTGACTGTGTGGACCAGGGTCAGGTCAGCCTCCCTGTTCTAGGCGCAGCACAACCCCTTCCCCACCACATGCACACACCAGTTGGCCCAGTGGCACCTTAAAGCTTCACCTACCAATCAGCCATCTGTTGTATTACTTCCATTGACTCCTTGAGTCACGGATCCACCTCTATCCACCTTACCCTTGTGCTGATTGATACAATGCAACATTCTTAGCCTTGGTCGCCTCTGCCTTTCTGGGAGTTGTGGGTCATGAGTTTTCTCCTTTCTGCTTGGTTGCAGAGCCTCCCCCAAAACAGCTTTGTGGGATGCCTGAAGAACTTCCAACTGGATTTAATGCCCTTGGATACCCCATCTGCAAACGCTGGGGTGACTCCCTGCTTGCGGGGCTCTTTGGAGAAAGGCATTTATTTCTCCCAAGAAGAAGGAGGTCATATTCTCTTGGGTAAGAGCAATGAGGTAGAATTTATGACTTTGAATCTTAAGAACTCTGTCCTTTTCCTTTCATTACAATGTTGTAACTGCTTTTTCTTTTCTTTTCCTTTTTATTTTGCCTTTTGAAAGCCAACTCTGTGTCATGGGGACCGGAATTTAAAATTGTTTTCAGCATTCGCCCAAGAAGTCTCACTGGAATCCTAATACACATTGGAAGTCAACCCAAGCAACATCTTAGTGTTTATATGGAGGCAGGACAGGTGAGTAGCAATCTGATAGTAGAACTGAGTGGATGGAAGCCAGATGCCCTTCCTAGAGATCCTAGTAAGTAAATTACCCTGGAAGGTGAAACGTAATCTTATGTTTAAGAGACCTGACTTCGGGGCTAATATCACTTTGCTTTGGCAAGCAGTATGACCATTATGTTCTGTTCATCATCTTAAAATCAGAGAAATTCAATATGCGAAATGTGTAGTAATTATCCTTATATCCCAAAGCTTTTGTCAGATTGGAGAAGCTGCCATATTGAGTTGATACTCAGTATCTGAATCTGTTGCTGATCTTGGAGGCAGAGGGAGATTGGTTCTAGAACCTGCTGCAGATTCCAAGATTCTGTATACTTTAAATCATCTTCAGATTACTGCTAATACAATCAAAATTTGTGACAAGAAGGGACTTCAAAAAGTCTGTGGGAAGTACAGAATTTAAAGATAAGTTCACATTTTTTATACCCAGATATATATATTTTTTTCATGATCCACATTTTCCTGTGAATTGTTGAAGGCTTCCTTGTATTATATTGTTAGGGAAACAATGATAAGAAAAAAATCTATATGCAATACAGACACATTATTTTTTCAGGATGTCTTCAGACATAGGTGTGGATACCACAGAAACAGGGGTTGACTGTATTTAATCAGTATTCATTTCCCTCGATGTCCTCCTCATTACAGTTCTACTCTCATCCTAAGCATACTACCAGAATTCATAAAATAGAGTTTTCATGAGTTTCTCCTTCAATTTAATCTCCTGCTACCTCATTCTCCCCATTACTCACAGGCCTGGGTCAATATCCCATTTTCAACCTTCCAGCTCTCTCCTCTGGGAAATCTCTTAAAAACAGAATTCTTCCAGAAAACCTCTCTTACTTAAGGTCTCAAGGCAAAGATTGATGATGTGTCATCTGATTCTATATCCTTCGTCCATCCACAGTTTATTAAATGTGAGAGGGGAAAATCTCAGAAGAGAAAATAGTCCAAACTTTTGGGAAACTTGTCATTGAAATAGTAGCCTTTCAGTCTGAACAGAAATGCAGAATCAGAGAAGCCAGCACCTCTCCACTTGCTGGGTAGTTGAAAGGAGACTGGCTTTACAGAGGAGCGGGTCCCAGTGAGAAATTCTGGATAGAAAATAACAACAACAACAACAACAACAAAAAACAAACCAAGCCCAGACACAGTGACCTTCCTAACTGAAGTGAAACTGCTTAGCTCAAAAATGCTTAAGAGTAGGCTGCACCCTTCAGCTATATGCAAATTGGATGTAAAATATTTATAAGTGTGCTTGATTTGAGTTCCCTCAGTTCATTCACCTTAACCCTTGGAAAATCCCAGTGGAGATCCCACTCTACATTCTGGGAAGGTGGGATTCTGCATACAGTGTGCCAAGTGCTAGGCAGGACAATCACATTTGTTGCACTTGTCTCTTACCTTGGACAAGAACCCCTCCCATGTGCCACATTCAAGTGATGACTGTGTAATGGCCTGGCTGGTGCAACAGAATGTTGGTCTCCAGCAACATGTTTGTCTTCCAAATTGCACATGTCCTTCTAAAGACAACCACATGTCATATATTCATTGCAAATGAAGACCTTTAATGTGAGTCAATACACTTGGAGTAGGGTTAAAGGCCCTAGGGTCGGATGAGGAGGGAGAAGCTCATTGCTTTTTGCCAGCACCTTCAGGCAAGAACCTGGTTTACTCTTGGAAACCTGAAAGGGGAGCCGTAGAGGAGTGCTTCACCAGCTTTGCACCCCTATATGGCCACCTGGTGCGGGAGTCAGAACATCAGTATCCGAAGTGCCCCCTACTAGGCTGTTGGTATGACCAGGGGTGAGAAGGGAGGATGCTCAGGGAAAACTGGCTCCACCTGGATTTCTGGATGAAATGGGAAAACGCATGTGTGTTCCAGGTCACAGCCTTCGTGGACAGTGGGACAAGTGGGGTCTCAACATCGGTCATGCCAAAGCAGTCTCTGTGTGATGGACAATGGCACTCAGTGGCAGGTATGATATCCAGTAGCCTGTGGTTCATATACCGAAGCAGTCTTCATTCCTTCCACCTGTACTTGAATATCTCAAGTGCAAGCTCAGTTAGTCCATTAATAGTGTCTGACCAGGGTCAGGCCTCTGGGTTACATGTTCTGCCCATGTAATTTATGGCTGCTACCTCAAGTTCTCCTTAACAGATTTGATTTTGCTTTTTTGGCTCCTCATGGGATGTTTGTCTTTGGCTTTTGTTTTTGGAGTTGGGGAAGTGGGGTTTAAATATGGTCTAGTACACTTACTAGCCATGCTAATTTTTAAGGAAGCATAATATTGTGATAGCTTTTTGGCTCTGAAGTCAAAAACAACAGAGGTCAAATTTCATTTCCTTCCCTTGCCCTGAGTGACCTTGGGCAAGCAATGCATTTGCCTTTTACTTTCAGTTTGGGTTGTGGCAACTAAGTTGGATGATGTGTGCTCACTGTCCCAAACAGCCAGATACACAGTTCGTGTTCAGTAAAGGACTGCTCTTCCTGTTGTCTAATTCTGGCTGTTGGTAAGCTTTAAGGGTCATTATTTTCAAAAGCAATTTTGTGCTGATGCTAGCCATTGAGACAACACAATGAATGGAGTACAAACATGTCACTCAAATAGAATCTGTTGTTTAGTAATAACTTAGGGGTATTTGTTTAGGGTGTAAGAACTTCTATAGGCTAACCCACCTACTATAGAAACATCTTTTCTTGGTTATTTTGAAAACCAATTACCACACAATTAACTAAGTTGTTAACATGGGGAGAATTCTGTGTCAAGGGTCAGAAAGGACTGTCTTTGGCATCAGTTTTAAACAATTGGTATCTTCTTAGAGTTAGCTCAGATGTTGTCCAGTGGCATGGCCCCTGGAGTCAGAAATGCAGAGTCTGAACTCTAAATCTGTCCAACCAAGACATTTCCAGCTACCCTGGAAACCCAGTTTCTAGCCTGGGAATTGAGAATGAGAGATAATATCTTACATTCAGATTTATTTTAAGTGCTCATTTCAGTCACATGTCTGGAAGCATCTCAACAGTGCCTGGTGTTCAAAAGAAGTTGGTTGACTGACAAAGGAGCTGATGGAATGCCTGTAGGAGTGCTCCCAGGGCTGTGTAGGAAGGGGTTCTAGGAAAACCAGTGTGACACAATAGCATAGACATTAACCAAGCAGGAGGACTGTCCTAGGGCAGAAGATCTAAGCAGCTTTCTCCCCCACAGTGACCATCAAACAACACATCTTGCACCTGCAACTGGATGCAGACAACAGCTACACAGCTGGACAGCTCACCTTCCTGCCTTCCCAAGAGCCACTGTACATTGGAGGTATTCCAGGTAACTCTAGTCCTTACTTCTCTGCCTTTTCAATGATGCTTCCTGCCAGCTCTCATGTTTTCCTCCTAAGCTGGCAAAGGTGATGGTCCAACCTATGGATTATCAGCAAGGCATACCCCACATTGAGTGGATGACAGAGATGACGGAAACAGTTGGCAGCAATGAACACGTTTCAGGGCAGCCCATGCCACATTACTGCTGCTGCTGCTTGTCCCAAGCCTGTGATTTATAAGCCCCTCTTAAGAGAGTGCATTAACCTGAAATCAGCAAAGAATCAGGAAAGGGGCTGGAGAGCTCATCTCTCCTCTTGAGTACTTAACTTTCACTGGTGAATTATTAGGTGTTACTGGCCCATAATGGGACATCAGGTGGGTTGAAATGGAATCCAGTTTAAGGCTGGAATTTTGCCCAGAGAGAACCTTTTCAGTCTTCATTGTTTTACGTCCCTTCCAATGGTCTGGTAGTTAATTTTATAGGCCTTTCAGGAGTCATAAAAAGCACTGCAGTTCAGTTATTGTCTATTGATTTGGACTGTGAAGGAATTGAAGAGTAGCATTTTTGCTAATTTATCACAGCAGGTGGAGTGTCAGACAGCCTGCTTCGAGAGGAGGAAATGAAGGGGCAGGATGCTGAGACATGAAATCCCTTTAGCGCTTTCCATTAAGACTGTCTCTTAAACCCCTGGATGCTGCTGTTAGGGGTATATAGGGGATATATATCTCAGTTTCTATTTCAAGTGACCCTCCCTATCCCACCCTGAGATAAGAATTCAAAGCAGAAGTATCAATACAGTGCACAAAAGAAAACACGATTTTTTTTTTAAAGAGTGAGAGTGAATATTCCTTGAGTATGGACAACCCCATAAGGAGAGATGGCTGCTGTGTGTGAGCCAGAGAGCTGACAATGAGGAGAGAGTATGGGGGTAACTGGAGGAGGACCAACCACAAGGGCAAGAACCAAGAAGCAAAGGGCCACTCGCATGTGTAACAGTCCTTGTTGTGAGGTAGGGAATGGTATCAAAATGAGGTGGATTTTGAGCAGGGTTTAGCGTATAAGAGCATTTCAGGGAGTTTCACAGTCTTTCCACATGGAGTTTGCTTGGCATCTCCTCCTTCCTGGTGCTGGATGAGACACAGATGCATCCATCCCAGGGAAGAGGGAGTGCGGGATTGTCATGCAAAGGGATGCAGTCACAGTGCAGAGCTGTGTAGAAACCACAAAGAACAGCAGCTCACCTATGCCCAGCTCATCCTCCTGTGTGTGTTCCCCATGGAGCTTCATTTAGCAGAACCTTCCACTGAGTGCCTCTCCTTTTCTCTCCCAGCCAATTTGCAGTCCCCGAAGCTGCCAGTGTGGAAATCGTTTTTCGGTTGTCTGAAGAATATGCACATCAACCACAACCCTGTCCATGTCATGGAAGCCTCGGAAGTTCGGGGGCCTGTCAGTCTGAATGGCTGCCCTGACCACTGACATGAGCCTGTCACAGCCCAAAGAAAAGTTCACCTTCAAAAGCACTGAGTCCCCAAGTGCCTCCCTGCCCTGTTTGGAGCCCAATTCCATCTCAGGATACCACCCAGATGGGCTTAACAGCACAGCTCATTTAGAATTCCAGTCACATGCACCAATCACTCTAAGCATCCAGTATTACACATGTATTTTATATAAAAATCCCTTTTCTTAAAGAAGAACAAATTGTTATTCAAAAATGCACAACATGTTTTTGGTAATATTGTTTTCCATTAAAAATGTCTATTAAAGGACTTCATTGCCCACTTGTTGAAAAATTAAATCTCTAAGGATATGAAACTTTTGCATTTGTTAAGGGATTATAATTTATGGGATGAAGTAAGTGCAGTGTCTTGTGTGAATTACCCTTTATTAACCCAAAGCCAATGGCTTGATGATCTTTTTTTTTAAAGATTTATTTATTTAGGGCCCAGCACCGTGGCTTAGCAGCTAAAGTCCTGGCCTTGAACGCGCCGGAATCCCACATGGGTGCCAGTTCTAATCCCGGCAGCTTCACTTCCCATCCAGCTCCCTGCTTGTGGCCTGGGAAAGCAGTCGAGCACAGCCCAATGCTTTGGGATCCTGCCCCCGTGTGGGAGACCTGGAGGAGGTTCCTGGCTCCTGGCTTCGGATCGGCACAACACTGGCCGTTGGGCTCATTGGGGAGTGAAACTGCTATGGGAGCACACTGAATAGGTGCTAAAGAACAAATACTGTTAACAATGATTGGGTCCAAATTAATAATGATTTATTTATTTGTATTACGAAGTCAGATAAACAGAGAGGAAGAGAGACAAAGATCTTCCATCTGGTGATTCACTCCCCAAGTGACCACAACAGCCAGTGCTGCTCTGATCCAAAGTCAGGAGCCCGGAACCTCCTCCAGGTCTCCCATGCAGTTGCAGGGTCCCAAGGCTTTGGGCTGTCCTCGACTGCTTTCCCAGGTCACAAGCAGGAAGCTGAATGGGATCCCGGCATGTTCAAGGTGAGGACTTTAGCAGTTAGGCCATGATGCCGGACCCAATCATTTGTTCTTCAGCACCTATTCAGGGTGCTCCCACAGCAGTTTCCAACAAGTAATCATTGAACACACATTGGTGAGGGTCTGTGAGTGCTTAGTGTCAGCATGGTGAGGTGTAAGAAGTGCTTTCTGGTGTTAAGGATTGAACATTCCAACCGGGGAAATATATAATACTAGTAATTAGCAAAATGAACTAATAAACCTATTAATTTATGAAATCCATTGGATTTCCAAACCCAAAATCCCTGGCTTTATGAATTAGGCAGGATTTGGCTACCCAAATTCATGGAGGCATTTCAGTGAATGGCTGCTGGATTAGGAGTTTAGACTTGAGCCACCAAGCACTGGCCCTCAGAAGGGAATTCCCTTTAGAGACTTGGTTCCACAACCCTGGCGTGCCACTGCTTCCTGGCTCAACCTGTCACCATGCCTCAGCACACCTGCAATTCCAGGCTCTCCCGGAACCCCAGACTAATTAATGGAGCTGCTAGATCCTGAGACCCAAACTGAGCCAAAAGAAAGTGTTTCCTTCTGAGAAACTTCTCTCAGGCATATTGGTCAAATTAACCAAAGCTGAGCAGTATACCAGATCTGCTCCCCACCGTGTCTAGACTGCGATGGTCAGTTCTTTGCACAAGCTATCCACTGGAAGAGCTGAGATGGATGTAAGCCTTGAATGGCAAACTGACAGAGGTCAGTGACAATCAGGAAGAATTGCTCCAAGTTTTATCCACAGAATAAATGAATGATGTATTAGGCCAGTATTACTAACTGACATTACTTTCCTTAACGAGGAAGACTATGCAAACCAATTTTGTATCTTCCACATAGTATTTGCTCATTAGGACAAAAATAACAAATTGTAAAAATTGGCCACAGTCATCCCATATGGTATCTTTTAGTCACCTGCCATCCCCTTCGGAACATGAATCATCTTCTCATCAGCCCAGTGTTCTTTTACAATGTTCACACTGCAGTCTGTTTGGGTCTGCTTTCCGTACTAAATGGAATCTAATAAATGGAATCTTCTGGAGATGTACAAAGGCCATAGTTCAGCAATTACTCAACACACGCTGAATGGGGATCTTTGGAAATCCTATGGTAGGGTCAGTGGTTGACCCTGAGTAACTTTTCAAATTAAAAATCTGAGTGACTATTGGGTCTGCAAGATCACCCATTTTACCACTTTAGCAGATCTGCCTTAAACCAATGGCCATCCCTTCTGGGACCTTGTCATTAACCTAACAGAACTATGGAGTTATTCATTAATGTAAACTATTTGCTAGCTATTCCTGGATTCTACCAGCTAATCCCAGTGATTTCCCTTCCATTTTGTAAGAACTTGAGGAAGAGTGTGCCATTTGTTGCGTGTGATTCTGGCCACCAGGAAGCAGCAGAGGCCCAGATGGAATCATAGTTGACAAGACAGAAAGCCTTCTGCGTGGCCTTCCCCGGATTGTAACATCTGTTCTCAGAAAAGACTGCTCATCGCTCCCCAACACGGAATCATGGAAATGATGTGCAAACTCCAAGTGCCATGCAAATATTGTCATTGCTGTCACACATGGAGCTGACCCCAGAGGAGGGCAAGGTTGTTGATCAACAGCTGTGACCAGTTCTCTCCAGAGCGTCTACTGATTCTGTTTGGATCCAGTGGCATGGGGCCTGGAGAGAGCACATCTCCCTGGCGACAGGCACCTGAGGGGCACCAGGTACCTGTGAAGCAACCGGCGCTTCTGTGGGCTTGCAACCTTCAGCCTCTCAGGGTACTGGTTGATCCTATTCATCCCTCAATACTCAGTTACTAAGTGTGAACCACACTCAGCATAAGCACACGGCAAAGGACAGTCACCACAAAACACACTAACCTTCCCTTCTCCCAGACAAGCCATTCTCTCATTTCCCCCAGAGAACTTGAACTCCTGACTCCTCTTTCCTCCAAACCCTATTAACCACCAGATCCTCTCCCTTTCAACTCCCCAGCTCTCTTCTTACTATTTCCAACTCTGAGTGCGGCAGTGCTAGCCTCAGAAGGACCTACTATGGCTTTCTGAGGAATGATGACTTAAAGCCAGCATAAGAGTGGAATGATTTTTTAAATAAATTTGTTTTATGGAATGTAAATGGTACATGTGTTCACAAGGAAAAATTGAAAATGCAGAAAAGCAAACAAATTATAATTATACCACTAATAACGATTTGGTTATGTTCATTTGTCTTTAAATTGTATGTTATTCCTCACAAATTCATGATTATTCACATTGCTTTGATATGTTCTTTAGAACTATATTGTGTTTCTCGAGTCTTTGTAGAACATTCTATTCCATTGGATGAAATTACCTTAATGTATTTCACTTAACCTCTATTTTTTAGATAATTGCTTTGCTTCCTTTTCTGCACTTACAAGCAACTGAAACATGAAGATGTTCTGGAATACAAAGGTATTTCTTTTCTTAAGATAAATTCTTATAAGTAAATTACTGGGTCAAATGGCATGAATAATTTTAAGTTCATTAGTCAAACTCTTCCCCAAAAAGTAATATCCACTTACAGTCCATCATTTCAAACTGGCCTTAGCCACTTTTTCCATAATCCAAATCTACCAGGGTCTACCCTCACAGCCTGCACACGGAAGCAGCTGTTGGAGGTCTGTTATGATCCTGGCTGATCTATCTAAACTCACACCACCTGGAAACACGTAGTCAGCTGATCAGAGTGCGGCTCTCACAAGTGACTGAGGAGCAAGCAGTTGGTTTTGTTGGTCTCTGGGAATCAGTGCTGAGCCACAGACAAAGCCAGGATTGCGAAATGTGTCATCCCTGGAGGACTCCGAACGAATGCCAAGCCCAGGCTGTGCTTCCAGAAAGGAGCAAGATATTGTTGGAGTAGTTTCCTGAGCTCTGCCGGCTTCTCCTGAACCTTGTGAGTTTGCTTTGTTGCCATTGACCCTTTTATGTCACAGATTCTTTCAGTTGGCCAAATTCTCTAGAGATGCCCAGAGCAAAAGCCAACAGAATGCAACTTAGAAATATTGACAATTCCCAGAACCAGAACGGCTTGTTAAAATCCCAGCCAGGAATGGGGTCAGATAACCTACACAGACAACTGGGGCTGAGACACTGAAAAAAACAGTAATTGGCTACAGTCTGATCAATCAACCAGTCAACTGACTATAGTTTCACTAGCTGTTCACAGCTTAATTAGATAATTGGCTACAGAGCCTCTTGCAACCAGCTAATACTATTACTGTGATTGACTTCTGCATTGTGCGCTGTTGGCCTAACTCAGGTGCTCCATCCAACTCCAAAGTCTCCCACAACATCTTATTTTACACGGTAAAATTCCCAGGATTTGTGTTCGTAAACCCAAGACCCAGTCCTTCCCACCACCTTGCCCTCCAACAGGAAATTCAAAGCAGAAACTTTTTTTAACAGCATAGTAATTTTACATCTTTATGGGTTAGTGTGATGCTTTAATACATGTATGAAAGTACATAAAGATAAGTTGATTTGAGTACAAAAAAATTAAATCAGCATGGGTTTTTAAGTTCCTCAGGTATTTCCTTTTGAGAGATGTCTGTGGTGATCAATTGTCCATTTCAAATTTATTCATTTGCTGTTGAGTTTTTGAGTTCCTTGTAGGCTCTGGATACTAATCCTTTGTTGGATGAATAGTTTGCAAATATTTTCTCCCACTCTTGCCATTGTTTCTTCACTCTGTTGATTGTTCCCTCTGCTGTACAAAAGCTTCTTAGTTTGATATAATCCCATTTGTCTGTTTTTGCTTCTGTTGCCCGTGCTTTGAGGGTTTTATCCAAATATTTATTGTCTGCGACAGTGTCTTAAATGCCTGTGCTTCCTTCTAGCAGATTCATAATTTCTGATCTTTAATTTAGAGCTTTGTTCCATTTTGAGTTGATTTTCAGATATGGTGAGAGACAGGGGTCTGGTTGAAATCTTTTGTATGTCAATACTCACTTTCACCAGCACGATTTAATGAAGAGACTATTTTCCTATGTATGTTGTTGGCATCTTTGTTGAAGGTCAGTTGGCTGTAGATGCAAGGACACTTTTTCTGGGTTCTCTATCTCTTTTACTAATCTATATGTTGCTTTGGTTGCTATGGATTTAGAATATGTTTTGATGTCAGGCATGACAATACTTCCAGGTTTGTTCTTTTGGCCCAAGATGAGCTTAGCTATTTGCAGTCTGTTGTGTTTCCACAGTTTTTTAAAAAAGAAACAAAAGGCAAAAAAACACATAGATAACACAAT